CCCTCGATCTGTACAATTTTTCAGATGCCATACGAAAGCCCAATTTTAAGAAGTTATCTTCCGTTGAATTGTATTTTTGCTGGCCTTGCTGTTTCAAAGCTTTCTCAATTTTCTTCAGCTCTACAAAAATAATTGAGCCAACTCAGGAACGTAACCTCGTCTCCGGGACCTCGTTTGCCGTGCCTTTTGCTGACGATAGCCTGTAGTATTGACGTTATTTTATAGGATATCGAAAACGTCTTCCGCATTTAGCCAACGCCAGCTGGTTCAACCTAGTCCCCACGAAATGTAAGGGGGCTGGGAAAAGATCGGGTGAAGCCAGATTGGACATCTTATGAGGCCTACATAACCCATTATTCTCTTAACGTAATGATACTGGAATATTGTTGAAAGAGACCAGGGAAAAGACAGAACTGTAGAACGCCAGTTATGAGAGAACATATACCAGAGAGTTAAACACTGATCTGCAGTGATTAGGGTTGAGAACTGGTCTGAAAATGGTTGGCTTTTCAATATTATAATGGGATACGGCATAAGAACATATATATTTCAAAAACTACTGGATTTGGCAGCTAGTCCTCGACGGTGTAGGTTTATATGAAGCAAATGACTCGGGTTTACAAAGCATCACAGTTCTGTTTGATTCCTGTTTATGTTCTTCATGTAATTTTATTAAACGAAACAATCTGGCTTAAGCTAGCCTGTGTAGCAGGCGCTTCATGAGCCAAGCGAGCGAAACAAGTGCGAAGCACGAGACGAGGGGAGGAGAAAAATAACTATTTTTCTTCTCCCCTCGTCTCGCGGGAAGGGCGAGGAGAAGCAATATTGCTAGGTACTTTATGCTAGAGAAACCCGGTTAAACTCCCGCCCGTGTGTGCGGGCTTCCGAGGCTCATGTACTTATACTGTGTAACTGCGAATATCGGACGCTTGATTATTTGATAACTTTTTTTGTTAGTTATGAAATAAAGTGTTGTTGTATGAAAAAAAAATTTAAAAAAACTTTTTTTGTTAATCAAAAAGTTTTACATGTATAACTATATGAAATCGGTAAACATTTCCTTAACGTATCCCTTGTTAAGGAAAGAAGGAAGAGAAAAGAAGAAGGAAAGCAGTACCCACGCTTTCTCGCCCACGGATTCCAAGCGGAAGAAGTCACGCAGTCGTTCCAAATCACCTTCCTCCAAAAAACGTGGTCGCCGTTCTCGGTCGGACAGCCGCTCGAATTCACGGTCACCCTCACGGAGTAGATCACGGTCGCCATTGGCGACGTCACTTACGGTATTCTGGCTTAAAATTGTTTCTCTTGTCTTCTTGTGCGTTTTGAAAACTTGTTAGTCTAACAGCTTTTTAAAGTATATTTTGGTTGTTTGTAACGTTTGATATACTACGTGGGAGACATCTTTTTTTTTGCACGAAGCTGTAAGGATACATAAATGGCTTTATTCACAAAATAAAGTAGACAAACGCGACACAACCCCCTCATTTTGATGAAAATTTATTAATAACATTCTGTTTCTTTCCACAGTCCCTTAAGCATTACGATTCACGTACACCTTCACCTTCGAGTTCAAGACGATCACGATCCCGAAGTCGAAGCTCATCCCGTGGGCGCGGAAGATCCCGATCCCGAAGCAGGTCGCCAGGTACCAAACAGAGGCGGAAACGATCTAGGTCACGGAGTGGGACGCCCGTGAAGAAAAGTGCGTCCCGAAAAAAACGGTCAAGATCCCGATCAAAATCACCTTCGAAGAAAAAGAGCAAAAAGAAGAAAAAGTGAAGCAATGAAAACAAAAGAGTTATTATATGAGACATCATTTGCAGTGGCTTTTGTTATGCCTTGTTTGATGTCCAACACCTGAGCTGATTGGTTGACATAAAGTCAAGGAAAAACTATCGTGTGCAATGAAGTGCTTCTTGTGTATTTTCACGCAATCGTCACAGTGACAAACTCTTGAGATTTTTTGTATAGGAAACGACATAGGAGAAGACAAGAAACCGGAGGGAGAACTTTCAGTGAGATATTGTAATTCTTTGCTGTGCAACACCCCAAATAAGCTCAAATTTTAGTTACTCTGGTTGGTGTTTACTTCTCTCTAATTACTGTACCAAACATTTTTAGCTTCCTCCCTCCCTTTTAGAGTCATTATAAGCTAGCAATAATGAAAACATACTGAATAAAAATGTCATTGTGGGAGGACGTTAAGGAGAGAGAACTGACTTTTAGAACAATAGACCCTTTTAGCCTGTATGTTTTGTTGTCTCGTTTCAGACCACGTGATGATACCCTAGAGAATTGTTTCTTGCATATGTCGTGTTATGCAGGTGCATACTAATTACTTGTGCATAATTTATGAAAAGACAAAAGGCAATTTCCTGGATAAGTGCAGTGTTGCACTTTAGGGCCTGTTTACATGGAGGTGGGGGACCAAGGGTAGGTGAGGTAACCCGCCTGTCCATTTAACAAATCGCATCAATTTTCCATGGTCTGCACTCTTATGGACTATAGAAATGACGTCATAAAATGTACTCAAGTGATAAGAGTGTGGACCATGTAAAATTGTGGTCGATTTGTTTTTTGCAATAACATTTGTTGTTGTTGTTTTTTTTTTACGAGAAACCAAAAACAAAATAACCAGCACTGCGTGACATGTTACGTCATTTCCATGGTTTATACTGTCATAGACCATAGCTATGGACTAATCAGCGAGCGAAGATTCGCTCATTTATTGTAAAAATAATCTCTCTGGGTGGGGTGACCTGCTACATGTTACCTCACCTACCTGAGGTCCCCCACCTTTATGTAAACAGGTCCTTAAACAGTCTAAAATTAAGTGTTATTTCAAGAAAATGTTATGAAATCCCAGTGGTTTTAAATCATCTTTACGTATTCATGCAAGACTTCCTTTATTTATCACAAGTGTAGCTATTGTTTTGAAACTCCAAAGCAATGGCTACTTTGTTAATTACAGTTGTTAAAGTGTTATTAAATTTAACCCAGATCACTACTTGTGGACTTCCGCAGATAAAAAAACACTTCCTGGTCCAGACATCTAATTCCTGTTGTTATTCAAAAACTTCATCCATATTTTACAGATTTACCGCACACTTTAAAGGACAACACAGCCCTATGTTTAATGCGCTTGCAATGAAACAAGTGGCCAAGAACTTCTACCTTTTTGTTCATTATTCAACATTTCATCGCTAAGAGCTAGATCATTATGAATTATTGTGACGTCAACAAGAACTCAAGCTAAATTCACCAGTTAATGACGATTTCGTAAAAGTGATAAAATTGGTCTTTTATTCTAGCTAAAGCAATTTCTCTTTAAGTGGGTATTCTTCTTCTATTTTATGGTACCCATTCTATAGTAAAAGCCATATAAAAATATGTTTTAAAAAATGAAGCTTCTCTTTTTTGATCGAATTTACGCGTAAAGGTTTCCTTCCATCTAGCTAACCCTAAGTACTGCACTGACAAGAAGAGTGGTGTTTCGTTTGGATTATGAGGCATTATGTTCACAATGAACTTAGATGTGAATTATGATAGCGAGACTTGATCTACTTTGAGTCACTAAACGCACATCGTCTAAACTAGTTCAGCGGTGAATACTTCCAAAAACACGAAACTTCTCTTAAAAAGTTACAAAATACTGCAAGAACTGCTTGAAGAGGTAGCGCGGGGCCTGGACGGAGGTAGTGCTCTACGCGGTGTGGGTGCTCTTCCCGGCAGCCCTCGCGCCATCCTTTGCAGTCGATCTTGGAAGGATCTGATGGGTGTAAGGTAGTAGGTTTCCATCCACGATCTCTGAAAGAACATTATTTTGCCAACTCTCTTCCTTTCTCCTCCAATGACGATGTTATTTGCAACTGCCAGCATATGCGACACTGCACTCAGCTCCAAGAATTTGTTAGTATATCTCCCACAGTCTTCACTCGGGAAAAACACCTTGCCTATCAGCTCATCTGGGCTGAGGAGAATTACGAATGCCAACAGAGCGTCGGTTTCTTCCTCGCTCAGCGAATAGTAACTCTGGTAGTTCTTTAACCTGCTCAAAGCAGGATCGTCTAGCTGAATAACCGTGGCCACACAGTTGAGGTAGTACATCAATTTGGCTTTTGGATTCTGTGGTATCGAAGCGTCTCGTGTAATATCTCTTATTCCGACCCTTTCTCCGATAAATGCTGCCATTTTCCGACGCGATTTGATCAACTACAATCTGAAAAATAGAGATAATTTGTTGTTCAGTTTTAGTTAAAAAAGTGAAATCAAAATTTTATCATTCAGTAAAAATGTTTGCCATCTGATGATATAATTGTCAGGCTGAGTGAAGTGACAACCTGTGCTGAAGTCATCTTTAGTTTCAAAGAGAGTTGTGCATCTTCAGTTGGTGGTATGAATCAGGGGCGTAACGTGAGACTTTGAAGGTGTACGTACGCGGGGAAGAAAAGTTGTTGCGCCGAACACAGCCCAATCTTAAGGAGTCTGAAGGCATGCTCCTCTAGAAAATTTTTTCCGCAGGACATTTTCAGCACATTACTCCACATGTAATACGTAGGAAAATGCAGTAGTTGGTTGTTTATTTCACTCATCTCTAGTGTTGTCGGTAAGGTACAGTGCTTACCGGAAAAAAAGGCCATTGACCCCTTCAGAATTATGGAATAATAAAAGGATAAGGAAATGTTAACAGAAAGACACCAAAATAGTGCGAAAAATGTATCGGTCATCCCGATTTAATGACAAAAAAATGCTTTTTTTCGAAATTGGAAATTTTTTTCTGTATTTCAGTTGTACATGTGCCACAGGAGTATGTGTGTACATGGACGCTAAACTCTGCTTTTATTTATTTTCTTGGTCTTAATAATTAATTCTGAGAATTAGCCGTAATTTCATTGACTGTGACCGGATAGTGCCTTTTAAATAAATTCCTTTTTAAAAAAGATTTGCGCGAACTGCTATGACAAAACACTACAGGCAGGCACAATCAGCAATGATGTTCTATTAACATTAAGACAATTTTTTGTCTCTCTTTTTTTTGCGTATTTCACAGCGAGGTGGACACCGTCTGTTATGCTGTACGATAAAACAGCTGATGGCGCCGCTGGATTCCCCGCGAATTGACGTCTGAGGAGCGACTGCAGAGATCAGTCCAGAATGATGAACTTTAATGCCAGATTACTCTTGTAAACGCATCATTTCTGCATAAATTGTTATCACGACATTCAATAATTGTGATTTATTATTTTTCACGTCACCGTGTTTAATGCTAAACTGAAGATCACATCAGTCCTCTTGATTCATAAAATCGCATTATTAATCAATCACTATCAATCAGTCAATCGATCGATCGATCGATCAACAGATAATTTAGTTGAAATTATTCCGTTTACTTCGAATTTGTATCGGCGGGGTTGTATATATATGTCGGGGGAGAGATGGAAATCATAGGAATCATTGAAATGAATTAAAGGAAGGAGCTCTTTCCTATCTGTACGCAAAACCTTCCTAGGAAATGTATCTAAAGTATAACCTGTCACCGACGATTCGCGAGCCAGTGGCGGAATGAATCCTCTGGTAGCCTCATAAAAGAAACAAAACACTTACTCAACCTTGAGAAAATTCGGTTTTAGCGTATTGATTAGTACAACTGTTGCATTTTTATTTAAAAACTTGAAATCTTAAGCTGTGGGAAACATGATCAGGACAGTCAATGCAACGGTGATGGTCTAGGCAGCTTATGGTTGCGCGACTCCAAGACACAGGCGCAGACCACATCCCAGTCTGACTGAGTCCAGAAATTAAATACACTGGCTCCAACAAACAACACGAAAAATCCAACAAGTGAGGATAGAAAGATAACTGCAGAGCCTTAGTAGCTTTGATCGGAACAGAGTTTATGTGACAAATGTTCCGCGTTTTCACTCTCTAGAGTGCGTTTTCCTTCGGCTGATCAGGCCCAATAACTCGCTTGGGCAGGCTGTGACCTGAATGAAGGCTTATTTATCAGTCAACCTTAGAAAAAAGTTCATTGACAAGTTCGTGATTCGAGAATATTTTCACTTCTGGAAACCCCGACGGGAAAATGCAAGATGCTCTGATCGTCAATAATTCGAGAATCAGCTGAATTTTGCATAGACCCCGCTTTGTCAAGAGGACATTTCCGCACGGTTTCAAGACATTTCAGCAGCTGCATTTACATCATTAATTACATAAAAGTTCAGTTAAGGATTGAGTGCTAATTACACTCTCATCAGAAAGAAATTAAAGTGTTCATACCGTCAAGAACGCGTGAAGATGTCAGTGAAGGAAAATCTTAGACGCTCTTCAACAGAGTGAACCAGCAATGTAGTAAACACGGAAGTGTTAGCGGAAGTGATCAGCAAAGTGAAAGAGTAACTAGAAACCTCACGTCGAGGTTAGAGTTCGTTAGGCTCAGACCGGCTAAGAGAAACAATATTTGTATCATTTTTCAGATCATACGAAAGCCCAATTTTAATAAATTTTCTTCCGTTGAATTATATTTTTGTAATCTAGTACCCAGATATCACTCTGTTTTACACTGACAAGTGAGATCTCCCTTTCCCTTGGCCGTGGGAGATCTGGGTACGAGATTAATATTTTTGCTGTGCTTGCTGTTTTAAAGCTTTTTAAAAATTTTTCTCAATTTTCTTCAGCTTTACAAAAATAATTGAACTAGCGCAGGAACGTAACCTCGTTCCCAGGACTTCTCGTTTGCCGTACCTTTTGCTGATGATAGCCTGTAGTATTGACGTTATTTTATAGGATATCGAAAACGTCTTCCAAAGTTAGTCAACGCCAGCTGGTTCAATCTCGTTCGTCCCCACGAAATGTAAGGGGGCCGGGAAAAGATCGGGTGACGCCAGATTGGACATCTTATGAGGCCTACATAACCCATTATTCTCTTAACGTAATGATTCTAGAATATTGTTGAAAGAGACCAGGGAAAAGAAAGAAGTGTAAAACGCCAGTTATGAGAGAACATATACCAGAGAGTTAAACACTGATCTGCAGTGATTAGGGTTGAACACTGGCCTGAAAATGGTTGGCTTTCAAATATTGTAATGGGATACGGCATAAGAACATATATATTTCAAAAACTACTGGATTTGGCAGCTAGTCCTCGACGGTGTAGGTTTATATGAAGCAAATGACTCGGGTTTACAAAGCATCACAGTTCTGTTTGATTCCTGTTTATGTTCTTCATGTAATTTTATTGAAAGAAACAATCTGGTTTAAGCTTCAATAGCCTGCATAGCAGTCGCTTTATGAGCCAAGCGAGGCGAACTCGGCATTTTTAGCCTGTGTACAGACGTCCCCCCTCCCTCAGAAAAGTCGCCGTTCTCGGTCGGACAGCCGCTCGAATTCACGGTCACCCTCATGGGGTAGATCACGGTCGCCATTGGCAACGTCACTTACGCTCTTCTAGCTGAAAATTGTTTATCTTTTTGTGCGTTTTGAAAACTTGTTAGGCGAACAGTTTTTCAAAGTTTATTTTTGTTGTTTGTAGCGTTTGATATACTACTTGGGAGACATCTTTTTTTTACACGAAGCTGTAAGGACACTAGCCTGAGAAAACAGCCGACATTTGGCAATGCTACCACTGGTTTCCCGCCAAATGACGTCTATTGAGAAACGAGCGCAGAAATTCCATACTGATGACGCGTCACTACCCAGATCAGGGTAGTGCTTCTGATTGGTCGTGCCACATGGGAAATTTGATTAAACCGGTGGAAGAGTTTTTTGTTTACCAATGCAAATTAAGTTGCTTTATTCAATTGACTTGTTTAATAATCTTTTTTACAGAATGATTTTAAGTACAAAAAGAATTCACAACTCCTTTTGAAGAAATTTCCCTGCAAGAGCTAAACAAATGCCTGCAAAATAATCAATCTTACGTGAACGAAGAGTGCGCTTTGCAGGTCACTGCTGGCGAGCAAAACAAGAAATCACAAGCGATCTACTGCTCTGGTCACCCAACTATGGTAAAAGGCGGGTTGGTCGCCCTGCAATCACCTACATTGACCAACTCTGTAGAGACACGGGATACCTGCCAAACGACCTACCTACTTTGTTGCAGGACCGTGATGGATGGAGTGATAGACTCATGAATGCCCGAGCTAGCTCGACATGATGATGATTACGTATTCAAGCATGATTAAAACGTTGTGTCATCCAACAAATCCGGCATTATTTGTATCACTTTGATTCTCGTGCTTTTGTTGGGAGAAAACTGTATTTTCTGTATTTTAGTTTACTTTCTCCTGACAATCACGCGAACACTAGGGTATTTGCAATAGCGGCTGGTGATAAACACCGTTTAGACAGTTTTCCCCCAATGAAATGCAATGCAGTGTGAGCAGTTCTTTTGGCAATCTCAAATCCAGTGCTCTTCTGTGCATGACTCGCAGAGTTAAAAGCATGAGCACTTTGTTAGCATTAGGGTCTAGAATGATCTTTGTACTAACCTGATCTTTGTTTGCTATCAACGGAAGTCCACAAGTAGTGATCAGGGTAACTTTAATAAAACTTTTACCATTGTGATTTACAAGTGTAGCTATTGTTTCAAGCACTAAAACAATAGCTACACTTGTAAATTAAACTTGTTAAAGTCTTTTTAAATCGACCTCAAGTCGTTACTTGTGGACTTCCGTTGATAACAAGCTCTTCCTGGCCCGGACAGTCTAAACCTTGCATCTAATCTCTGGGGTCGTCCAAAACATTCATTCACATTGCACACTACAAAGGACAACTAAGCCCTCCGTATAAATGCGCTCAGCAAAAAACTCCTCCCTTTTTGTTCTTTGTTTGATATTTCACTGCTAAGAGCTAGATCATTATGAGCTTCTCTAATTTCAACAAGAGCTCAAGTTAATTTATCCGATAAGTGCGATTTCTTAAAACTTTTTTTTTTATTCTAGCCCGGGTATTCTAGGAAGCGCATTTTGTCTTTCAGTAGGAATAAATCCTCTATTTTCTCAGTGGTACACGGTCTAGCTACACATGTATGAGTTTTTAAAAATTCCTCACTTCTCCGCTCGTAAAGCCAAAGAATTCTTTCCGTTTAGCTAACCCTTGATTGGTATTTCATTTGAAATCATTGGATATTGGAGTTTCTATGCTCGCGTGCATGACTAAATATCTAGTCTACTTTGAGCCGCTAAGCGCTCATTGTCTACACTAGTTCAGCAGTGACAAAACGTCCGAATTTCCAAACTTCAAACAAAATTTGAACAACATGAGCACAAACTCCTGTAAAGAAGTTACAAAATATTGCATGAACTGTTGGAAGAGGTAGAGCGAGGCCTGGGCGGAGGTAGTGCTCTACGCGGAGTGGGTGCTCTTCCCGGCAGCCCTCGCGCCATCCTTTGCAGTCGATCTTGGAAGGATCTGATGGGTGAAAGGTAGTTGTTTTCCATCCATGATCTCTTAAAGAACATTATTTTGCCAACTCTCTTCCTTTCTCCTCCAATGACGATGTTATCTGCAACTGCCAGCATATGCGACACTGCACTCAACTCAAAGAATTGGTTAGAACCTCCCCCACAGTCTTCACTCGGGAAAAACACCTTGCCTATCAGCTCATCTGGGCTGAAGAGTATTACGAATGCCAATAGAGCGTCGGTTTCTTCATCGCTCAGCAAATAGTAATTCTGGTAGTTCCTTAACCTGCTCAAAGCACGATCGTCTAGCTGAATTACTGAGGCCACGCAGTTAAGGTAGTACATCAATTTGGCTTTTGGATTCTGTGGTACCGAAGCGTCTCGTGAAATATCTCTTATTCCAACCCTTTCTCCGACAAATGCTGCCATTTTCCGATACGATTTGAACAAATACAGTCTAAAAAATAGAGATAATTTGTTGTTCAGTTTTAGAGAAAAAAAGTGAACTATAAATTTTATCATTCAGTAAAAATGTTTGTCATGGAAATATAATCGTCAGGGTGACATGCTGTGCCGAAGTCATCTTCAGATTGAAAGAGAGTTGTGTATCTTCCGTTGATTATATGAATCAGGGGCGTAGCGTGATACCTTGAAGGTGTACGCGCGCGGGAAAGAAAAGTTGTTGCACCGAAGGCGGCCCAATCTAGGGGGGGTCTGGGGGCATGCTCCACCAGAAAAATCAGTTTAAATTTAGGGTCTTGGAAGTGCCATTTGCAGCTTTTTCCGCAGGGCATTTTACTTAACCCTTGAAACAGGTCATGTAAGTAGAATACTACGCGCTATCATGCACTACAGTCGAACCTCCACGTGCGACCACCTCCGTAGGCAACCACCTTCCCAAAACACCAAAAATGTCCTCAGTCAAAGCCTTATACTGGATCCTCTCATAAACGACCACCTCCCGTAAGCGACCCCGACCGCTACAGACAAGTGCAGTCAACGATGATGTTCCATTGACATAAAGAAAATTTTTTGCCTTTTTTTCTTTCGCGTATTTCACACGCGAGGGGGACATTGTCTGTTATGCCAACTTTGCCAACTCTACGAGAAATCTTGCCTAGTCCCTAGGCCTCATTATTCCAGGCGGCCAAAGCGTTTCGGGTCACTTGGTCCAAGCGAATACGTGACCGGGAGGGACTTTTAAAACGCCGTAACCGAGCCATTGTAGCCTTCTTCTCGCGCGTCCGTTTTTTCTTACGCCCACCACTTCCAAGCAGGCTATAACCGACCCTGAGAGTGACAGCTGATATTACGCGACGGCGCCGCTGAATTTCTCACGAAATGAAGCTAAATGACGTCTGAGGAGGACTGTAGAGATCAGTCCAGAATGACGAACTGTAATGCCAGATTACTCTTGTAAACGCATCATTTCTGCATTTATACTACTACATGAGAAATTACTGCAATTTATTTGGCTTAGAGCAGTGGTATTTTGGCCTAATTTGAAATTACTTACATGTGAAAATTACAAACCTTTTGCGGGTAATAGTATAAACAAATAATAGCATGATTTGTACGTGATATTTGGCATAAATACCACTCGTGATATTTCAAAATAGTCTCAAATTTCACTCGCCTGACGGCTCGTGAATTTACGTATAACAATTTTGAAATATCATAATCACTCGTGGTATTTATGCCAAATATCACTACTAATCATGCTATTACCTATACAAATTGTTTTCACGTGATTCAATGACTGTAATTGATTGTATTTTCACGTCGTTTACTGCTTGACTGGTCACATCAGTATTTGCCCATGAAATCTTGATTTATTAATAATCGTATTGTTAATCAAACAATCGATCGATCGGTCAACAGATAATTTAGTCAAAATTTTTCAGTTTACTTAGAGTTTGTATCGAAGGGCTTGCTTATATGTCTAGGGAGAGCTGGGTATCATAGGAATCGTTCAAATGAATTAAAGGGAGTCCGAGCGACTGTCATTCCGAGCTCTTTCCTATCTGTACGCAAAACCTTTAGGAAATGCATCTAAAGTACCCGGCTAAAGTATAATCTGTCACCATTGAAATCTCGACGATTCGCGAACCAGTAGCGGAATAAATCCTCTGGTAGTGTCATAAAAGAGACAAAACACTTACTCAACCTTGAGAAAAACTAGGTTTTAGTTGCATATTAATTTCATCTGTTGCAACTAATGGTGCACGACTCCAAGACACAGGCGGGGACCACATCCCAGTCTGAAAATACACTGGCTCCAATAAACAACACCAAAACTCCAACAAGTGAGGATGGATAGATAACTGCAGCGCCTTAAAAATAGCTTTGATCGGGACAGCGTTTAAGTCACAAATGCTCCGCGTTTTCCCTCCTTCTCCAGCTAGAGTGCGTTCACCTTCGGCTGATGCCCAAGTAACCCGCTTGAGCACCGTGAGCTGAATAAAGTCTTATTTATCAACCGTAGAAAAAGTTCATTGAAAAATTCGCGATTCGAGGATATGAATTTTGCACAGACCCCGTAGTTTTGCAGACGACATTTCCGCACGGTTTCAAGGCATTTCAGCTAAATGTACATCATTAATTACATAAAAAGATCAGTTAAGTATTGAGAGCCAATTACACTCTCATCGGTAAGAAATTAAGGTGTTCATACCGTCAAGAACGCGTGAAGATTTCAGTGCGGAAGGAAAATCTTAGACGCTCTTCAACAGAGTGAACCAGCAATGCGGGTGACACTGATGTAGTAAACACGGAAGTGTCAGCGGAAGTGATCAGTAAAGTGAAAGAGTAACTAGAAAATCTCAAGTCGAGGTTAGAGTTCTTTAGGCTCTGACCGGCTAAGAGAAACAATATTTGTATAATTTTTCAGATCATACGAAAGCCCAGTTTTAAGAAGTTATCTTCCGTTGAATTATATTTTTGCTGTCCTTGCTGTTTTTAAGCTTTTTAAAAATTTTCCCCAATATTCTTCAGCTTTACAAAAATAATTGAGCTAGCGCAGGAACGTAACCTCGTTCCCAGGACTTCTTGTTTGAAGTGCCTTTTGCTGACGATAGCCTGTGTTATTGATGTTATGTTATAGGATATCGAAAACGTCTTCCAAATTTAGTCAACGCCAGCTGGTTCAACCTCCTCCCCAGAAAATGTAAGGGGGCCGGGAAAAGATCGAGTGACGCCAGATTGGACATCTTATGAGGCCTACATAACGCATCATTCTCTAAACGTAATGAAACCGGAAAATTGTTGCAAAAGACCTGGGACCAGGGGAAAGACAGAACTGTAGAACGCCAGTTATGAGAGAACATATACCAGAGAGTTAAACACTGATCTGCAGTGATTAGGGTTGAGCAGAGATCTGAAAATGGTTGGCTTTCAAATATTGTAATGGGATACGGCATAAGAACATATATATTTCAAAACTACTAGATTTGGCAGCTAGTCCTCGACGGTGTAGGTGTATATTATGAAAATGACTCGGGTTGACAAAGCATCACAGTTCTGTTTGATTCCTGTTTATATTCTTCATGTAATTTTATTGATAGACACAATCTGGTTTAAGCGACAATAGCCTGCATAAGAGTGTAGACCATGGAAAATTGTGGTCGATTTGTTTTTTACAACAAAATTTGGGTTTTTTTTACGAAAAACCAAAAACAAAACAGCCAGCACTGCGTGACATGTTACGTCATTTCCATGGTTTATACTCTCATAGACCATAGCTATGGACCAATCAGCGCGCGAAGATTCGCTTAGTTATTGTAAAAATAATCTTTCTGGGTGGGATGACCCGCTACATGTTACCTCACCTACCTGAGGTCTCCACCTTCATCTAAACGGGCCCTTAAACAGTCTAAAAATTAAGTGTTATTTCAGGAAAATATTATTAAATCCCAGTGGTTTTAAATCATCTTTACGTATTCATGCATGACTTGAAGAATGTGTGATCCAACAAATCATTACGTGTTGGGTTCAGCATATATTTGTTCTAGATTCTCTTGCTTTTGTTGGTCGAAAACTGCATATTAATTCACTTTCTCCTGGCAATCAATAACACAAACAACACCGTATTTGCAATGGCAGCCGGTGTTAACCCAGCGAAATGCATTGCAGTGTGCATAGTAACATGGTTTACACAATCGCAGACGAAGTTCCATTCTTTTGCCATTCTCCGGACCCAATGCCCTTCTGTGTATGACTCGCGGAGTCAGAAGCGTAAGCACTGAGATCGACAATCAGCTAGTGACTCCGTCTGTTCATGTTGATTATGCTCATGTTTGCGCCGCCGAACGGTTACACCCTGTTTATGAAAGGGACAGCGTCTCCAGGAAGTGTTTGCTGTCGACGAATTCCACAAGTAGTGATCGGGGTTCGATTTAATACAACGTTTAATTTACAATTTTGATTTCGACATTGCTGATCCTAGCAGTAACCAGAACGCATGTCATACATCAACCTTGTATATGGCCTAGCTCGACACGAGACCTTCATAGCTCAGTGGTTAGAGCATCCGACTGGTGTACGGAAGGTCATAGGTTCAATTCCTGTCGGGGACTCAGATTTTTTCTTTGTCCCACGCTCATGACATGTTGATTTCTTTACCGAGCTTAAAATGTACCTTTTTTTTATTTATCACAAGTGTAGCTATTGCTTTGAAACTCTAAAGCAATGGCTACTTTTGTTCATTACAGTTGTTAAAGTGCTATTAAATTTACCGCTATCACTACTTGTGGCCTTCCGTCCATAACACACACTTCCTGGACATCTACGCCTTGCATCTAATCCCTGTTTTCACTCAAAACATTCATCCACATTTTAGATTTACCGCACACTTTAAAGGACAACACAGCCCTATGTTTCAATCCGCTTGATTTTGATCGAATTTACCCGTAAAGATTTCGTTCCATTAACCCCAAGTACTGCACTGACAACAACAGTGGTATTTGAACAAGAAGAAGAAGATACTTTTATTTAGCTAGGGTAACTCCTACAGCTACAAAAACTCATATCCTTAGAGGCCCTAGATAAAAAAGAAATATAAAACATGTTAAAAATACTTTAAACTAGTCCTAACTAAGCTAATAGAAAAATATCCTAAAACAGGATAAAAATTATTACAAACTATTAATAAAAACTACAAATTACGATTAAAAACTTCACATCCATGATATAGGTAATAGGTAATAGCATGATTAAGTAATACTGAGGTAATAGCATGATTTGTAGTGATATTTGGCATAAATGCCACGAGTGATATTTCGAAATTGTTATACGACAATTTTGAAATATCACGAGTGGTATTGATGCCAAATATCACGTACAAATCATGCAATTATTTGTTTATACTACTACCCGCAAAAGGTTTGTAATTTTCACATGTAGCACCATTGCTCTAAGCCAATCAAATTGCAGTAATTTTTCATGTAGTAGTATAACATTTGAAATTATGAGTTATTATGTCCACAATGAAGTTAGGTATGAATTATGATAGCGTGACTTCACATTTAGTCTACTTTGAGTCACTAAGGACTTGCACACGAAACTTCTTTTAAAAAGTTACAAAATACTGCAACAACAGCCTTGAGAGGTAGCTCGTGGGCTGGACGGAGGTGGGGCTGTACGCGGAGTGGGGGCTGTACGCGGAGTGGGTGCTCTACGCGGAGTGGGTGCTCTTCCCGGCAGCCCTCGCGCCATCCTTTGCAGTCGATCTTGAAACGACATGATGGGTGTAAGGTAGTTGTTTTCCATCCACGATCTCTTAAAGAACATTATTTTGCCAACTCTCTTCCTTTCTCCCCCAATGACGATGTTATTTGCAACTGCCAGCATATGCGACACGGCACTCAGCTCCAAGAATTGGTTAGTACGTCCCCCACAGTCTTCACTCGGGAAAAACACCTTGCCTATCAGCTTATCTGGGCTGAGGAGTATTACGAGTGCCAACAGAGCGTCAGTTTCTTGATCGCTCAGCAAGTAGTAACTCTGGTAGTTCCTTAACCTGCTCAAAGCAGGATCGTCTAACTGAATAACCGTGGCCACACAGTTGAGGTAGTACATCAGTTTGGCTTTTGGATTCTGTGGTACCGAAACTTCTCGTGAAATATCTCTTATTCCGACCCTTTCTCCGACAAGTGCTGCCATTTTCCGATGCGATTTGATCAACTACAGTCTGAAAAATAGAGATAATTTGTTGTTCAGTTTTAGTTTAAAAGTGAAATAGAAATTTATTAGTCAGTAAAATGTTTGCCAGGATACATAATTGTCAGGAGTGTGAAGTGACAACTTGTGCCGAAGTCATCTTTAGATTCAAAGAAAGTTGTGTATTTTCAGTTGATTGTATGAATCAGGGGCGTAGCGTGAGGCTTGTGTACGCCGCGGGGAAGAAAAGTTGTTGCGCCGAAGACAGCCCAATCCGGCTAGGGGGGTCTGCTCGGGGCAATTAATTTTATTGCTTCTTAAAAGAAAAGAGCCTTTGCTTAGGCACTAGTTACAAAACTAAAGATGTCTTCATACGGTCAAGTTACTATTATTACTGTGAAAAGCCAACAACAACAACAACACACTTTATTTCACCCCATAATATACAAGAAATAAAAATTTATAACAATAGTACAGACGATGATAGGGGCGCTGGCTGCCCGAAATAACCTAAGAGTTAAAAATGCCAGGCAGCCAGTCTGCATGAGATGTAGAATCACACAGTTTGCACATGAACGTGTCGGACTTTGCCCCTTTCGTGGTTCGTACGTGAGGGAATTCGAGTTATCACATAGTAATCTAGTAAACAGGGGGGCCCAGTTGTTCGAAGGCCTATTAGCGCTTAACCCGGGTTTCTCTTTCTTGTGTTCAAAAGCATTTTCTCGGATAATTTTTTTCTGTTATATTTAGAGCTTTCAATCATCAACTTATAGACAAAAACAATTAAAACTGAAATTCTTTTCAAGCTTTCAAATCTGAATTCAAATCTGGCACTAACCCTGGGTTATCTTAACTCGGCTTTGGACAACTCGGCCCAGGATTACCTGTTTGTAAAAAATTAGCATGTGAAGGTGTTGGACTTTGGCCCTTTTACAATTCGTACTTAAAAAAACGTAAATTGTTTGCTAGAAAATTTTCTCAAACGATTTTAAGAAATCACCTCGGCTTTAAAACATCAGCAATTAAGGTGGCTCGATTGGATTTTTTTGGGAGGATACCTCCCACGTTTGAGCATTAACTACGTCGGCATGAGGAAATCGGAAAAAGGTTACCACAACTGTATTATATAATGATGAAAATTTCTTATGATCTGGGTTTTATTGCAATCGGAGTCGCCATGGCAACGTAATGACGCCATTACGCTTTTTATTTATCTTTGTGTTTCTCTGTACCAGGAGTTTTTTGAAGAAATCGCTTAAGGGAGTATGTACCTGCCATGAGCCTTTTCGAAATATTTTGAAAAGCAGTTTTAACAATCATAAAAACAATCAAATAGCATGCTATCCTCACAAATGCAAATTCTATCTTTTTGCTAAATGTGCACGTGTATATGAAACTTGAAAACAATGCCAGTGAATAATGAGGACGCTCACTTGTAAACACAAAATCTGGGGGAAAAATTGGTTATATTTGAGGCCCTACTTAAAAGCCTTCCTTGTTTTCAATGTTTTTGAAACTTGCAGGGAATATTTATTGACAATTGATCTCGAGATTGTCGAATTTATAAAAAAAATTTATCGAGCCGTTTTTTGAAAAATGCAAAATTTGTAGGCATGGACCAAATTACATCTAAAACCTGTATCAAAAGCAGCTGAATGCAAGTTAATAAAATTCTTCTTACTCGCGATTGCTGAGAGCAATTCGCCTCTTTTTTTGTATGCAATTTTCAATGGAATCAAACCACTATGGGATGAAGCTGCGTTTCCAAAGCTTATCATTTTCTTAAAATATTAGCGAATTGTGAGGATAGCATGCCATTTGATTGTTTTTATGATTGTTAAAACTGCGTTTCAAAATATTTCGAAAAGGCTCTCATAGAATTTGTTGAAACTTTGCCATAATGGAGGCAATTATGGCAGGTACATACTCCCTTAAGCGATTTCTTCAAAAAACTCCTGGTACAGAGAAACACAAAGATAAATAAAAAGCGTAATGGCGTCATTACGTTGCCATGGCGACTCCGACTGCAATAAAACCTAGATCATGAGAAATTTTCATCATTATATAACACAGTTGTGGTAACCTTTTTTCCATATCTTTACTCATGCCGACGTAGTTAATGCTCAAACGTGGGAGGTATCCCCCCCAAAAAATCCAGTCGAGCCACCTTAAATTATGCTTCATGTAATGTCAAAGTTGATAGCCGAACATTATCAATTGAAACTGCCGAAATATATTTCTACTCATATCATGTTATTCCTCTCAATAAAACAATATCTAATTAGTGTCAACTAGCTTCTTCCAATTGTATTCCCTAACGCAACTGTTTCTACTTAAAGCCTGGTTTCCATACGATCGCTGCGATCGCTGCGATCACACGTTTGCCTACTCGTCAAGATGACGTCGAAAACCGTGCCAAGGTCTATAGCCTCAAGGTCACTTAAAATGAATCCTTATGAAAGTGAGAAAAATCTCTTGAAATGTTTTGTTTCTTGGCATAAAGGAAGCCGGTTTGCCACTGCATAGAAAACGGGTAAGTGATCTGTTATATTGGTTAAACATATTCTTGCTTTCGTTATTTTTTGAGGCACGTTTGTGTGCTCCCCCAGAAAATTTTTAAATTTAGGGTATCCGAAATGCCATTTCCAGCGTTTTTCCGCAGTACATTTTCAGCACATTAGTCTACTTGTAATACGTAGGAAAATGCAGTAGTTGGTTGTTTATTTCAGTCATCTCTAGTGTTGTCGGTAAGGTACAGTGCTTACCGGAAAAAAAGGCCATTGACCCCTTCAGAATTATGGAATAATAAAAGGATAAGGAAAAGGTAACACAAAGACACCAAAATAGCGCGAAAAATGTACCAGTCATTCCGATTAACGATTAAAAAAAAATTTTTTTCCGAAAATGGAAACATTTTTTTTCTTCATTTTAGCTGTACATGAACGCACAGGCGTATGTGCGTACATGGACGCTACGCTCCTGAATTCTGCTTTTATTTATTTTCTTGGTCTTGATTAATTCTGAGAGCGGTTAGCCGTGATTTCATTGACTGTGACGACTTCAAATGGCAGTGCCTTTTAAATGAATCTCTTTAATTGGTTTGCGCGAACTGCTATGACAAAACACTACGCACAGGTGCAGTCAACGATGGTGCAGTTTTTGTCTCTCTTTTTCGATGATGGGTCCATTTTTCTTAGACATAAAGACAATTTTTTTTGTCTAATGTGAACTGCTTTTATCAAACGATACAGCGTTTTTATGACTGTGAAGCGACTGCACAGTGTTAATTAGAAAGCCGCAGGTCGGTGGACACCGCCCCTGTCACTGTCTGTTATGCCAACTCTACGAACAGCTGACGGCGCCGCTGGATTCCCCGCGAATTGACGTCTGAGAAGAGACGGCAGAGATCAGTCCAGAATGATGAACTTTAATGACAGATTACTCTTGTAAACGCATCATTTCTGCATAAATTGTTATCACGAGATTCAATAACTGTAATTTATTGTATGTTTAATGCCAAACTGAAGATCACATCAGTCTTTTGCCCTTCAAATCTGTTGATCGATCAATCAACAGATAATTTAGTCAAAATTATTCAGTTTTCTTCGAATTTGTATGGGCCGGCTTGCTTATACATGTTGGGGGAGAGATGGAAATCATAGGAATCCGATTCAAATGGATTAAAGGGAGGAGCTGTTTCCTATCTGTACACAAAACCTTATTGGGAAATGCATCTAAAGTATAATCTGTCACCATTGAAGTCTCGACGATTCGCGAACCAGTAGCGGAATAAATCCTCTGGTAGCCTCATAAAAGAAACAAAACACTTACTCAACCTTGACTGAGAAAATTCTGTTTTAGCATATTGATTAATACATCTTTTGCATTTATATTTTAAAAAACAAACAACAAAAAAACAAGCTTAAAAGCTTCAATTCTTAAGGTGTGGAGGAAACATGATCAGGACAGTCAATATAGCTACTTTCCGTGTACTTTGTGCACGACTCCAAGACACAGGGAAGGACCACATCCCAGTCTGAAAAATCCGGAAATCAAATACACTGGCTCCAATAAACAACACCAAAAATCCAGCCAGTGAGGATAGATAGATAACTGCAGAGCCTTAAGTAGCTTTGATCGGAACAGAGTTTATGTGACAAATGTTCCGCGTTTTCACTCTCTAGAGTGCGTTTTCCTTCGGCTGATGCCCAATAACCCGCTTGGGCACTGTGACCTGAATGAAGGCTTATTTATCAACCTTAGAAAAAAGTTCATTGACAAGTTCGTGATTCGAGGATATTTTCACTTCCGGAGACCCCGACGGGAAAATGCAAGATGCTCTGATCGCCAATAATTCGAGAATCAGCTGAATTTTGCATAGACCCCTAACCTTTTTCAAGAGGACATTTCCGCACGGTTTCAAGACATTTCAGCTACATTTACATCATTAATTACATAAAAGTTCAGTTAAGGACTGAGAGCTAATTACACTCTAATCGGTAAGAAATTAAAGTGTCCATACCGTCAAGAAGGCGTGAAGATGTCAGTGAAGGAAAATCTTAGATGCTCTTCAACAGAGTGAACCAGCAATATACTAAACACGGAAGTTTTAGCGGAAGGGATGATCAGCAAAGTGAAAGAGCAATGAACTAGAAAACCTCAGGTCGAGGTTAGAGTTCTTTAGGCTCTGACCGGCTAAGGGAAACACCCTCCTAGATTTGCATAATTATTCAGATCATACGAAAGCCCAGTTTTAAGAAGTTAGTTAAAGCTTTTTAAAAATTTTTCTCAATTTTCTTCAGCTCTACAAAAATAATTGAGCTAACGCAGGAACGTAACCTTGTCTCCGGGACGTCTCCGTAGTTTGCCGTGCCTTTTGCTGACGATACGATAGTCTGTAGTATTGACGTTATTTTATAGGATATCGAAAACGTCTTCCGAATTTAGTCAACGCCAGCTGGTTCAACTTCGTCCCCTCGAAATGTAAGTGGGCTGGGAAAAGATAACATCGGGTGAAGACAGCTTGGACACCTTATGAAGCCTACATAACGCATTATTCTCTAAACGCAATGCTACGAGAAAGTTGTTGAGAAAGACCAAGGATCAGTTATGTGAGAACATACCAGAGAGTTAAACACTGATCTGCAGTTATTAGGGTTGAGCACGGATCTGAAAATGGTTGGCTTTCAAATATTGTAATGGGATTTAAAATTACTGGATTTGGCAGCTGGTCCTCGACAGGGTAGGTTCATATGAAGCAAATGACCCGGGTTCGAAGCATCAGAGTTCTGTTTATGTTATTCATGTAATTTTAGTGAAAGAAACAATCTGGCTTAAGCCGATGTTACCTATTTGCTAACCGGGAAAAGGCCTTACTAACCGGGGGGCCTGTTTCTCGAAAGTCCCGGTAAGGCAAATATTCAAATCGAAATATAAAGAATAAGAGCGCGGGTTCTGGCTAGCAAACTAGCCATTTTGTTTCATTAACTGACAGTTTTATCGTGCTGGTCCGGAGACAGCCCAGGTCCCTCCCCCAGGTTTTTTTTTTAAAGGTAAAGCCCTGGGAACGAGGTTGTTGCTGGTTTCCGAAGACCAAGCAGGGGGATCTGAGTTAAACAGAACGGTGTTTATCATTCTCTCCAGACAAGCATAATTTTTAGTATAATACATACTTTTACGTTATAATTTGTACGATTTTCTATGGGAGAGAAGTGTTTGTTTTTATCTTAACTCTCCTCGATCTGGCCTTTAGAGTAAATTGATTGTCTGTGAATTATTTATCCACTACGCCCATTATATGCTCGAACAATTTTAAAAAAATGTTTAAAAGAACCTTAGTGTTGCGGAGCATATCTGTTACTCGAAAGGGAGTTTAAATCGTTCCAATTTCTACTTACTCGTTATAGGACAGGACACGTCATGTCAAAGTAATTTCACTGTACGCGCCATCGCACGCGCGCACTTGAATGGTTTTTTTTTTTTTTCACTGCCAGCAAAAAACGCGCGGAATATCTTGAATTTTGAACTTATTTTTTTTTTTTTCACAATTTGCCAGCAAAAAATACCTACACGTGAAAATTACGCGCGGGTAGTATCTCATTTTTTGATATTTGGCATTTTGAACTTAGTTAGTATGATTAATTGGTGACAGAATTTCTTGTCGTTCAATTCGGCCTGTAATCATACTCGTCATTTAAACAAATCGGACTCTCGCGTATGTTTTAATACAGGCCGAATTATTTACTTATTATCATCTACTTATTATTTAATTTTCGCAGATTCAGTGAAATAGTTTTATATTGGACTCCACTCAGTCCTATTACCATTATAAAGACTGAGTTGTTTATGAAAACAGAATACGTCATTCATTAGTTCACATGATTCACTGATGTCAGTGGAATTTGTATATTTTTCTAACGGTACTACATGACTCATTTAAATATTATTAAACGCAGATAATTAAAATCGCATATTTATTCGTTTGATGGGATGAATCCTTTTTTTGTTTGATATCAGAAACTGGACGTGCATATGCATGGCTTTTTACTTCTTGAAAGACTCTCTCTAATATTTCATACTAAACTGTTTAAAAAAGTTTACAAAGGATTTTCTAAAAAACAACTGTTGTTTACAATCATTTTCATAAACAGTCAGTAGAATCCGCCCGGTTGGAAATAAATAAATAAATAGAACAAGACTAACAAGAATATTTGAGTCGTTTCAAAGAAAATTTTCCAAATTGAACTCACCAGTCGTAAATGTTTTTTTTTTATCATTTTCCAAAACCACGAACCGACCTGTTTACCTGTGTAAATGGAAAACAACCAAAATGTTACGATGCGATGCTGTGGAGATTTATCGAGAGTCTTCCAATCAGAAGCTTCCAGAATTAGCTGCCAATCAAAGTTCAAGGTGCCACATGTACATGTGGCCAGTGGGCGGATTAATCCCAAGGTCAAACCATTATTGCAGTGGGCTGGTTCATTTCCCGTCAATTTCTCCACCACGAAATTGATAAGATTGCCTTTTTTGCTATTACTGCAAGTGCTGAACTATGCTTTCGCATTCTAGTTCTCACATCCCAGCCACTTCTAACCGCAAAGCTCCAACGTGCACCCGTTGTCGCAATCATGGAATCTATAATGTTCAGCTGAAAGGTCACCGAAATGTTTGCAAGTTTAGGTTGTGTACCTGTAAGCATTGCATTTTGATTGTGCAAAGAAGGCTTATGGTTGTAAAACCTGACCGAGAACAAACAGAATCTGGCGGAAAATCTTCCAAAAAGAAAAGGTCATCAAAGAAGGTGGTTGGCATGGATAAGAAGAACGATGGTGAAGGTTTGATCAGCAATCCCTTGCCGACTGCGATTACACAAAGAAAAGGTGAGATCGAGGATCGAGAATTTTCCCCATTTTACTTAGTTATCAAAGCTATTGGCATAATTTCAGCAAACTTTGGTTAAGATCAAATTTGGAAAAAAAAAGAAAAGTAGCCGTTCAAGTGGACTTTAGGAAAGTTACGGAACAGCGAAGTGAAGCAAAAATGTGTCAAATAAAGGTGGAATGTAACTGAAAAAAGGCCAATGATTTGAGAGAAAAAAGTTTAAGCAACTTACCAATATGGTAATTCGTACGTCAAAACCTGTCCATAATCATAGATCTGGCCTCTGAAAATTAGCCTTGCAAAAGAACTAAACTTTTAACACGATTTTAAGTTCACATTTCGTGAAAAGGCCTTTCAAAAAATGTTGTCAGGATGCTTTTGGGTGTTTCAAAATTCTTCCAGTTTTTTAAGCTAATTTAGATGAAAAAGGTCTTGCATAAAGGTATGTGCCAGTTGTGTGGCAATGCAAGTGATGCCTTGTCTCTCCTTTAAATGCAATCTCCAGGATGACACAAAAGTATTAAAATTTCTAAAACCGTACAATTAACGACGAAATTTATTTTCCGTTTCCAGAACATCCACAATTTCCTGTAGCCAACCTCGAAGCAGTCAGCTTAGGAGAAGTTCCAGTTATGAAGCAAAGTTCTGCTAATTTACCCAGGAAAAAACCTCGACTCCTCCCAGCAGATGGCGCTGCACACATGACAAGTCTACCGGTGTCCCATTATTATGGTTTCATGTACTGTACCCCACGGATGGAGATGCGGAATTTTAATCCTAGTAGCCCATCCTCCATTTCAATGGCTTCTCCTCGGGTTTCCAGCCCTTCTAGCTCTGGCATGATGATTCCAGTAGCTGAACAGCCTCACATGGTCGGGAATTTTCCTGTTACCCGCACTCGGGTAGGCTGTTTCAACTATAATAATTTATGCATTAACGATCGTTCAGACTTCATTAGAAAGATATTAAGAAACAAACCAGGAAGGAAAACGATTCTGATAAGTGAAAATTGGGGGTGTCAGCCAATAGGCGACTTTTTAAACAGGATTGATCTCACTGTACCAACCATACTCCGGACACAAAAGCGAATATAAAGAGAAAAAACTGTTCTGCATCTTCTGCTTGTGTAGAAACAGTTTAGCATTTTATCCACAACCAAGTTTTATAATTTCAGGAACAGCGTCGTGAAAAAAAAAAAATCAAATAGTTATTCAGAGCCTATATAGTCAAAAATGAAGAAAAGAAAATAGTGAAATATTTGAGCAATAGTGCGGTTTCAGTATCTCTTTTAATTTCTAATTTCTATTTCTCTTATTCTGCTTCAATTTTTGGATGCTGTTAGATCAGGTTTAATTGAGTTAAAACTTTTGACTGAGCCCGTTTTCTCTGCTAGTAGAAACCACTTTTCTCTGCCAACAGGGAAAGACCCGTTCGATGTTGGATCTGTTTAATAGCCTTCATTAAGTATGATCTCTTTCTAATGTTTTAACAGGGTTTTACCATCAATTCACCGGCACAGCTGAATGTGACCATTCCACGCCCTATGGAACATTTCTAGAGAACTCAATGGGGAGGGGAAAGGGTGGTGGCCTTTCCCCCTGGCCCCATGTCAGTCACAAGAAACGACACCAAGGCAAAAAACTTCTATTGACGTTCATCAGGAGTTTCCAAACTCCTTGAGACTTTTGTTATATCTGTTTGTCTCATTAACTGTTTGAGCACATTTGTGATAATTGTTGAGAGAAACTAAGACATCCGAATTGTAGAATGAAAATTGCTCAATAAATAAGAACTTCTGAAAATGACACTGCTTAAAAAGTTTCGAGCAATAGTAAGTATTTTTCGCAACTAAAGATTTGGGAGTCTTAAGTGAAGATAAGCGGTTTTAAAGATTAAAATCTTTAATCATAACTAAAACTGTCAACTTTTTTGCCTGAGAAAACAGCCGACTTTTCGCGACACCACAACTGGTTTTCCTTTTTTGGCGGGGAAACTAGTGTTGGCATCGCGAAATGACGGCTGTTTTGGGGGGCTATCAACTTTTGAGCCAAATTCTTGCTTTCTTGAAAAGTAACAAATAAGTCAACTGTTGTCTGAGCTCCAGCTTGTCGTATTTTAACAGCCTGCAGAACAGTCGTTATCAGTGTTTTTCGCGTTTTTCAGGCGAGCCCCATTGTACCGGAGGTTGTCTCCCACGGGTGGTTTTTCCTTGGTGTCGGTCGCGGGCCGATCCATCGCAAACAAAGTTGGACGGCAAGTAGTTTTATAATAACAGTGGTTTTGCAGCAACAAAAACTGACACAACATTAGAAATCTCTTTCAATATTACAATCCAATTATAACGTTGCCACTTCCCAGTTGTTTGACATGAAGTGTGACAGCCTGAACAGCGATAACAGTTAATCCTGCCATCTGCTCCCTGAATCACAAATTAAAGTGTCGCTCCTTGTCATGAGGTTGATGTTTGAGTTTTGCTTACTGTTTGAGGCTGACAGTTTTTAAGTTACCTATCTCTTCAACTCCTGAAGCCAATGTGTCAAGACAGCCATGTACAAAATGCTAACTGCGAGTACAGTGTAGCCAGAAGATGAAACTCCACACTAAACGCAAGGCTTTCATTCAGATAGTTTGGGTTAGCAGGGACCGCGCAGAGGGAGGGGCTGGGGGGGCTTTAGCCCCCCCACTTTTTTGCAAGAATAAAAATAAATTAAACAAAAAATAACTTAGCAAAAGTAACGGAGTGAAAAATAGCAAAAAATCGTTAATTCGAAAGTGACCAGAGTTACTGGCAAATACAAGACTTCACATACCAATAGTAATGCAAAGAAGAGATCTCTTAAAATTTCTGATTACTTTTCCAAACACAATGGAAAACCTTCTTTAAACTCTGCATAATTTTTGCTACTTTTTTCTGAATCTGTTCTATAATTGAATTTTCATTCACTAAATTATTTTCAGTTACCGTTTTGTTTTGCTGTGTAAGTATTTTGAATGAATAATTAAACAATTATTGAACTCGGCTTTCGTATGATATGAAGATATACAGATCTCGGAGGGTGTTATCCACCGGGCTCAAGCCTTCGGCTTTGGCGGATAACCCCCTCGATCTGCAGAACTCTTCATATCATACTCAGCCTCGTGCAATAATTGCTCAGTAATTATACAGTCTTGAGTTCAAGGCAGCTCAAGCAAAATCGTTGGATTTCTGGCTTATTTATAGTAATTAAAGGTTGATATCAGTAGTATAACATAACAATCTATGATATTTCAATTTAGTGATGGTGAATTTTCAGACCCGATAGCAACATCACTGAAGATGTGGAAAAAAGAAATTTCCTTCACGCATTCTTTTTTAGCCCCCCCCACTCGAAAACTTGCTGCGCGGTCCCTGAGTTAGTCCTCAACCTTCCCTGACCGGTTTACCTTCAGAAACTAGCATTCAGGAAAGCGTAACCATCTGGGGATACAGTGAGTATGCCGTACGCAAAGCTCCGCGAAAGCAGAAGTGCCAAAAACACTGGAATGCCTCAACTGAATCAGCCTACTTAAATCGCAAGGCAGGGGAAAGGTTAAGTCTCCTTAAAATTTATACTAAATTTCATGGGTACTACAATTTTGTTTGTGTCCGGTTTCCTTCATTTCTAACTCTCATGGATTGTCTTAACCAGCCCAACATTTCAGTCAAAATGTCTCAGGTTGCAGAAGTGCTACACGCACAGAGACGGCAAGTTTACCCCCATAGACAAATACCGTCATTGCCTACAGGAAGAATAGAAATGACTGCTCTCTTGCTAAACAATAACAGATACTAAAGCCATAAGGGTATAATAAATACACAGTACTCTAGGAAATAACCCTTGCAGTCAGCTGAAATCCTTTTCAAAATAAAATCAGATGGCCATTCATTTGTGTAGGCAGACTACATGTTTTTAATAAGGAAAGAGGCAACATTAAAAAAAGTACATATATATTTCCTAAACTTTGATAGATAATTTTTAACAGTCACATACAGTAATATTTTTTTTAACAATCTAAAAGTATCTTTGGTCAAACATTTTCAAAGGTATAACTACAGCATCATTCGCTGAAATCTGATTTTCGTCTCATAACGTTTGTAGTCCATAAAATGTGAATGTTTGGTCATATATCAGTGCAATGAACAACAAACTGGTGCCAGCTGCCATGGCAACAGGTGTTTAAACATTGGATAACGCTGTCTGCCGGATAAATCACTATCAATTTGCTCTATTCACTGGACAGAGATTTATCCAGAGGACAGTATTATCCACCTTTTGTACAACTGGGTCCTGATCAATTTTGCAAAACATGTCCATTTGCACTGCTTGAATTGAAACTGATACCTGCGTTCTTAGGCATCTTTTAACTAGATGCAATATTAACAAAATCATAAAAATTAGGTCATTTATTTCAGTAATTTTTGGGCAAGAGACACCGTTTCCAAATTTTCGAAATCCAGCATAATCAGCAGTCAAGCTATTTTGGGAGGCAACATCAAATAAAGCAAAATGAAAGCCTACTGCCTGTTTCTCAACAGCCCGTATAAATTTTTAATCCAAAGTTATATTACGTGCACAGTGTTTTAATCCAAACCTCAAAGTTTGTTGGTTTGGAACGTCATTTTAAAGTAAATCTAAGGACCTGGGGCCCATTTCTTGAAAGTTCCGATAATTAATGGGCCTGAAAAGATGTTGTCATTTACTTTACAGATTGAGGTTTCAAAACTTGTGCAGATTATAAACTAATAGTAAACAAAACAAAATGTACTGGTTTCTTAGGTATATTTTGACCTGAATAGTTTATTTCAGGCCCATAGAGTTACAGGGACTTTCAAGAAATGGGCCCCTAAAATGTTTGAGGTACTCTGGATGAGAAATGGGCTATTAGCACAAGAGAAATTAGCTAAAAAACGTCAGTAGCTAAAAATACTGGAGCACAAGGAACAGGAATCACAGCATGCACCACTGTCTATGACAATAATAAAATCTAGCCTTTTTTAATACATTATGGGTTAGCTGACATTTCTTATTCAGTGTCTTTGGTAGCTTGCGGAGCTGGCTGTGAAACAGGGGTAACAGGAGGCTTCAAATCAAACACCCTCCTTGCATTATCTGCTGAGACGCGCGCTACTTCCTCTGCGTCAATTCCAAGGCATTTGGCAACAGTGTGAGCTACTATAGGCAGAGTACAAGGTTCATTGCGCCCTGGTTGGCATCTTTTTAGTAGTGACTTACAAACGTCATCTAAGTCCTTTTCAGGGGCATTTGGCGTCATGTAAGGTGCATCACTTTCCAGAAGAATTCTATCCAGTGGGAGGACACCCTCCTTGAGAGCATCGCGCAAAGCTTTGCCTGGGTTTTCTGAAGGAAGAAACAAACATCATTAAGTTTTGCTACAAGTTCCACATTATAAAGTGAACTGAATACAAAACTTTCAGTATACAAACTGGTCTGCTTTACTTCAACCAGACACATCTTACCCTGGTGTGAGATGCAATTCTCTGATGCAATTCTCTGACTGACACTAAAAACCAACCTACAAACATTACCCTTTACTTGCAAGTTAGAGGCAAATTTGTCCCAATAGTGACCAACGACAGTTTTCTCCTAACAATATCCATACGTTGTCAAGAGAAATGGTTACGAGAATAAATCAAATGATCACCAAAGAGTAAATGCTTTGATCGTTTATTAAACTCTCCCAACTTATCTCTAAGGAAATGTCCATGAAGATCAGTATGGAGAATTTGTATCTGGATATTGACGCTTAATGGGTTAACAAAATACTTAATTCCTTAGTAGATCTTGTTCACTAAAACTTTTTTATAGACATTTTGAAGGTGGCACTTGATGAACCTAAACAAGACAACAGTTATTTAATTAACACTTACCTTTACAAATAAATCCACAAATTCCAATGTAAAACCCCATTGCAACATAAGCGCTCATTTCAGAAACACTGCCAGTAAAACAATGGATCACGATAGAAGGTAATCTGCCACTAAACTGGCTCAAAACTTCAATGAACTTCTGATGGGAAGCTCGCTCATGAGCCAAGAGTGGTTTCTGAACTTCACAAGCAATCTCAACCTAATATTACAAAAAGAAAAGAACAAGAGGATTATCATTTCACCAATCACTTGACTGCAGAGATATTCTACCACTCAGACTAATGTAAAGAATTGGGATTTGATTCACTCTATATTACCCCTATGCAAGAATTCATATTTTCTTGGATTTCAGGTGAGCATCATTATTTTAATAACAACACCTAGCAGAAATTATTGTCAAGTATCAGGGTTGTCAAAAGTAGCCAGCTGCTGGCGAAAATTGCCGCCTACTTGGTCAGTATCAGCCAGCTACTCTGCTTGGCATTTCTTTATGGACGGCATTTTTTAAAAAATATCCCTGGACTGGCCGCTTACTTTGACAACCCAGCTGTCTATTTCAAAAATTCTGACAACCCTGAGTATTCAGATTAATGGGAATTTGGACCTTCTTGGTTCTTACTTTGCAGAGCAACTTTATTCACAGGAATTTCAACATGCTGTTATTCATTGATACTACCCTCTTCTAATAAAAAATACAGGGCCCAGTCACTTGACAGATAGTTAAGTTCATGTTTGACCCACATGGTAAAGCCCACTTTTAAGCAAAGTTTATTGTCCAGGAACATGTTACTGGAGCCTACACAACATTGAGATAAGAGATTATAGGAAGGCAAACATAACTGTGGATTAAATTTATTATCAGCACTAATCTGCCAAGGACTGATCACAGGAGACTGATTCAAGAACCAAGCCGCACCAACTAGTTCAAGAAACAAGCCCAGGGGTACTGATAAGCTTACCTGTTTTGTGAATGCCTCTATCTGTGCTTTTTCTTGGGAATAATTCCTATGAAAGTCCAATCCAACTTCACCAATGGCCACAACAACAGGATCCTTGGCTAATTCTTCAATCTCTTTTGCTGTTTTTTCATTCCATTCCTTTTCTGTAAAATGAGGATGCACTCCTATAGAGGCATAAAGTACTGTGGGATGTGCCTTAGCCTGAGTGACAGCTGACTGACTCATCTGAAGGGTATTCCCTGTAAGAATCATTTGCTTGATTCCAACAACCTCTGCTTGTTCAATGACATTCTGAATGTCTATGGTAAACCTGCGAAATACAACCCACCACAGGATGCAAAGAAAGTCAGTTTTACAGCTTGCTGTTTGGGCAAGCTGTACCCACCATGTACCAGCCAAAAAGTCATTTCATCTAGCCCCCACCCCCAAAAAAAAAAAGATAAGCAGGGTTGTCACTAAGATTTTAAGTAGCCACATAAATACAACAAGTAGGTTGGAAATCAAACAGCTCTACGGATTTCTTGTGGTTCTATTTTTCTATTTTTCCAATAATATTAAAGTACTCGGGGCCACATTCTTAGTAGCCGGGGGAAATCCTCAGCCCCTGCCTCTTAATGACAGCCCTGGATAAGTATTGATTACAGTTCTTCTGCAAATTGGATTCCCCAAAAGACCTCACTTGTCTATCTGACAAATTAAGAACAGAATTCACAATACTGGCAACTTAAAATCATAATAGTGACAACCCCATAGTACTATCTCTTCTTCATATTCATTTAAGGCTCCTATTTTAATGTTAATCATAACTATAACAAAATTCTCAAATCTGATTGGCTATCAACTGCCCTGATTTCAGCCTTAATTGGACAATTTAATAGGACAGTACGCATCATGCCTAAGTAATTGGACAGTATGCGCCATCACACGCGCGCTTAAATGGCTTTTTTCACTACTAGCAAAAAAAAATCAGAATTTGTTCTGTTTTGATTTTGAAAAGGGCATTACCGTATTTATTCGACTATAAGCCGATCTTGGCTATAAGCCGAGACCCCAAACTTTGAACGTGTAGACTCGGCATAACGAGAACCAAAAATAAATCGAAAACACCCGGCTATAAGCCGAGACCCATTCATTATTACAAGACTGAATTGTTAACTACGGGAAAACCTAACATTTTTGGAAAAAAATCACATTGATTGTCATAAATGAGGCTTAGACGATAACACAAACACGCGTATACAAGAGATGCAATGGTGATTTATTATGCAAAAAGCTTCCCTCTTAGAAAACACACGCGAATTAATAAATATTACCCGTAACTAACTATTCAATTGAAAAGCAATGAATCATAACTCAGATGAATTAATGTGATCCAAAAAATGAATTTAAAACTAACTGTGTTGTTAAGCGGCATCACCAGTACCTAGACATCCGTAGCGTCTATCAAACAATCTCGTGTTCGCAATCGTTAATTTCAAGTCAAGTTGTCATCATGCCCAAGGCTCGTCGCACGCGTCCATACAACCTCGCGCTTAAATTTAAAGTAGTCGCGAAGCAGAAGCTGTTGAAAATAACTCTGAAATCGCCAGAGAATATGGCATCAGTGAGTCCATGGTCCGTCGCTGGAGGAAAGATCAAGCGAACCTTTTTAACGGCGAGATTAAATTGTCAGCGAAACGGAAGACGATGGGATGCTTCACGCCGAAGTATCCGGAGCGCGATCAAAGAATACTGGAATGGTTTACAGAGGAGAGAAGCCAAGGTAAGTTTTTTGTCGAGCATTGATTTGGTATTTTAAAACAACGGAAACAAGATCACGAAATAAATCAATCAGCTGATTGCAGAGTGAATACAAGAAACGCCGAAAGGCGATTTTTAACTGGGCTGCCAAGGGGCTATTTTTTCTGAGGGGAGGGGGCGGCTATACACACTCAGGCTACCATAAAACCTTGTCGGCAACCATTGCATGTGACAGAACCTCACGTGAGACTGAAACATAAACTCATTCAAAACATTGTACCCTTTTGAAAGACTTTCGTAACCCAAAAAAAAGAGTACCATTTTTAAGTGGTCGCTGTATAATAACTTTTAAATTCCACCACTATGAATAAAAATAGACAAGTTAGCCATTAATTCTAAGCAGGAAACAATTTGCATTATTTCCATTTACCCCTTCCCTAATCCCTCTGTGCCCCAAAATATAGCGTGACAGTATAACGTGACGTAACTGGAAATTCCAAAAATTGTTGTCGTTCTACGAGTATAATGAGCTGATTTACACTAGACAGAAATATTGTGTTATATGAAAACCAGAAGTATACTAAAACAGACAGTTAACTGCCCATTGATCCCTCCTGATCCAGGGGCCTCACTGACTGCACGGAGACTTAACTGCGCTTTTTACAAACATGCGAACTCTAAAGTTCAAAAGCCACCTTCACAATTGTGTTTATCGCTGCCGTCAATCATAATTACGATCAAAAGCAACGAACCTTGAAACAGAGAAACACACAAAACGGATCGAAATCCACAAATCACAAACCATGACCTTTTAAACCCGTGAAGTAGAGTTTTGTTTCCTAAGAGGTCCGTTAAGATGATTGACAGCAGCGAAAAACGCAATCGTCGGTTGGCTTCTGAACTTCGGAATTCGCATGTTTGTGAAAAGTGCGATCCTAATTTGCGGTCCACAGTCTACAAGAAAACGCACTATTTTTTCCACAAGAAGAAAAATATTCAGTTTTAAGATTTTCCTCTTGGTATTTTTCTCTAACTTAAAGAAATAAAATCCTTTGCATTTTGAGACCTAAAAAAGTTTAAAGACTTCTCGCTCGCACGTTGCGTTCACCGGCACGCACTTCAAACAATGTAAATAGATGAAACGATCGATAACATATTTTTTACCTGATACCGATGCGAGTTAAAAATTCGCTCCAGTTCCTTTTGTCTCACCCAAGACGAACTTTTCTTCATGGAAGATAACTATGCCGCTTTATAACTCGTCCGAAGTTTTTGTGCCAGCTAAACAATATGGAAACACTATTCACAGTGACTCCTTGGATATTAAAAAGACTGAACGTGACGCACTATTATGCCTTTGTTTACTTCTCATCACATCTTCAAGCGAAGTCTCTCTTTTCAAGCGATTCATCTCAATGCACAATAATTGACCCTTATATTAGTTAAAACCCTATGGTTCATTTATATTAATGCTGTTTTTGCCCCTCACATTGACTGTGTTCGTTCGTATTCAAAACACCTTTACGAAAAAAAAGGTCGTATAAGTCATTAGCCTGAGTATCAGGCCTTCCTAAGGGGATAGGGGAGAGGAGATTTTTGAGGGGGGAGGGGGGAGGGGGGAGAAGAGAAAGGAAGGCCTGACACAAAACCATTCAGCAAATCGTGTGACACATCCAGAATCTGGATGTGGCAGTGATTGGATAACACACAATACGCCCTGACGTCACCGACCGCAAGTAAACGCGAGCAGAGTGTTTTGATTTCATGTGTTAATTTTATGGATAGAGTCGCAGAGAGGAATTCAAAGAGACTCTTGAGAGCGCTCTCAAGTTCTTTCCGGGAATAAAAATAACATCCGAGCAAGAAATGTGTTTTCAAAGCCTCGTAGTTAACAGGAAAGATGTTCTCGGAGTATGGAAAAGCCTCATATACCAGCTTCTCCCGAAACTATGTCCGAGTATTGGTTTCACAAGACCAGGAAAAAGAAGACGATATCGGTGCTTCAGATATCTAAGTTTTGATTTACGACATCCTGCCACTAAAAGGGTATTGTTACTGTAAATCAAATTAGAGCGAGGTAGCCATGTATTGAGAATAGCCGACAGCTCCAAGGCTTTAGCTTGACTTTAGATTTTCCCTCGGACGATTTTCGGCCTGATCTACAGCAGCTTTTTAGCTGCCAGATTCTATTATTAATGAGCACCGCTGTTGTAACCCTGTAAACAAAAGCAGTTTACAGTTTTCCGGGCACACGTTTATTTACAAACAGAGCGTTGGCGATCTTACATTAGCACAATTCCTAAAACATGTTATAATTCCTCAAAAACAGCAGGTTTTCCATTACAAGTATTCGAAAACTCCTCATTGGAGGTTTCAGAAAAAGCGAAATCGTAACAACACAAGCACCGGAGCTCGGCAAGACCGTATGGTGAGATTTATTTTAGGGGAGCTTTTTGACACGTGAAGCTGACAACCCAATGACCGGATGTGATTTTGATTGGATGGTTTCGAATCATGCTGTGTGGGGGTGGAAGGCTCCAGTAAAAGCATCTGTGTCAGGCGTTTCTCTCCTTCAGCTCTCTCCCTTTTTCGCTTCCATCTTTCCCCTTTTCCCCCAGAAACGCCTGATACTCAGGCTAATGTGTTATGTTTCGAGATAAATGGATTATACGCTTTTTTAAGTTTCCATTTTGCGGTGACTTCAGTTAACATCTTCATAAAATGGTAAAAGAAATATCAAGAAACATCACGAGAGCTAAAAAACTTTCAAAGGCATGTTTCTGAAACTCGCTAATGCTGACATCAATATAGCGTGCTTGCTGAATGGGCGAAAACACAGAATTGTGATCACAAGATCATGTACAAATTTAATGATAAAAGCTTAGCAAGATACAAATACAAACAAAAGCAAACCCCCTGAAACCTCGACGTGGGCTACACTTGTATGCTCTACTCAGTCATCAAACCTTGTCAGTAATAGCTCCTATTTTCCTCAAGTCGCTCTCTGTGAAGCTCCCGTATCCGGATGGGATGTTACAGTGAAGCTTTAAACTTGTGCATTGTGCGCGAAATTCTCAGAGTCCCTATTTTTGTCCGTGTCTTCTTTATCCTCAGTATCCGAAATTAAGACCTCCAAAGTGGCGTGTGTTGCATTAAATAGAAGGAAATATTTAAAGGAAAAGCCAGTCTTCTAACATGGCGAAATTGTCACGTCCCTCGCTCATAGACGTGCGTAGTGCCATTAATCGGCAACTGAGTTGTTCGCTTCACTGACTACGAAGGCTTACAATCAAGTCTTCAGCCACAGTGTCGTCAACTGGTGAAATACCTTGCTCATAAATTGTGCTTCTTAATTGCTCATGTACTACATCGATCGATAATTCTCTCTTTGAGTTCACGAAGCGGCCACGGCGTTCCAAACCTGACGCTCACAGTCATCTTTTAGTGTGGACCTACCGTGAACAGCGTGTCGGTTTGAATGCAACGCGAGCATTTCTCTGAGTTTCCCAGCGCCAACATCATCTAACTGACTTAAACTCGAACAATAAAAAAATTATAGAGTGACTCCCTGATCGAATCGCTTCGAACAACGCAAATAGCCTTCTTCAGGTTCGCAACGCTTTGTGGGTTTTTCAGGGGGAGCGCAGACGAGGTACAAAAAGTGTCCGTGCAAGGGTTCGTGCAAGAGAAACTCATATGAAACCATTTGTGAGAACATCATTTCTCGGTACCAGATCCTCGTGTCTTCCCACCCCCAGGAGACCACTTTTTGACACCGACGACCGAAAGCCCATTTTATGACTGGGCGCACAGGCAGCCCAGTAATGAGTTGAATGTGTGACTCTCAAAACTATCGTAGTATCATGTGACAATATTGTGTATGATAGATCCTCATTGGCCAGTTTTCACAGATGTCAAAACAAATTCAAGACGTGTCAAATTTTTAACCTTTCGATCGTTTGGTAACCTTCTCACTTCGTTTTGCATAGGAATAGCTGTTAGCGGATTGATGCTACGTCTAAAGGCAAAGGAATTCAGCGAGGATTCTGAGTTTAAAGCGTCCCTCGGCTGGTACCAGAAATGGAAACGCCGCCATTCCGTCAGCCTTCACACCAAAACAACACTCACTCAGCGTCTCCCAGAAGACTTGGAGCAGCAAACAGTCAAGTTCCATCGATTTGTAATCACATCCCGTCAGCGTCACGGTTACTCCCTATCAAGAATCTTTATCTTTTCCGTGAAAACACATTAAATTTATGAAACGCCTCCTTTAGGAGCCACCACATTCTTAAAAGTTAATAACCTGAACCAACGATTGCATATTGTGTTTCTTTACTTTAGCTCGGCTTATACGTAAATACATCTCGATTTAGTAGAGTTTCCATGTGCCGGAAAAAATTTTTTTTCAAAAAACTTTCGGCTATAAGCCGAGACCCCCTCTACAGCCCAAATTTTAATTCAATTCAGTTTTGATTTGTGTAAAAATCGCTCGGCTTATAGTCGAATAAATACGGTATATATCACAAATTTAGTTAAAGTTATCAGGGCCGTAGCCAGGAAGAAACTACAACCGAGGCAAACACACGGTCCGTTGTACGAAATCAGCCGTATGAAATCTTCTAATATTATCAGTCTGATAAAAAAAATAAAAATCGACTGTATTTGGTAAAATTTTACCGAGGCGAGTCCCTCAGTTCGCCTCATACTGGCTACGGCCCTGGTTATGATTAATTGGTAACAGAACTTCGTGTTGTCCAATTCAGTCTGTAATCATACTCGTGATTAAACAAATTGGACCCCCGCTACGTGGTCGTCCGATTTTGTTCATCACTCGTACGATTACAGACTGAATTGGACTCCACTCAGTCCTGTTACCATTACAAATGGTAGAAACTTGAGAGGACATACAGTATCACTGTGTCTGTAACCAGGGTATCAGATAGAAGGCATGGTCAAAAAGGAACAGAGAATGGCTGGAAGATTAAAAGAAAAAACAACAGCAACAGGATACAACAGAAATTGATGTCTCAAGACTGTTATGGAAAAATTAAAATGCACTTACGCTTTGTTTGGCAGATTGACACCAGCATCAATGAGTTGCAATACTTTATCCTCTGGTATTTTTACAATGTCATTGGGACCCTGAGGGCGGCGCCTGTTCCTGTTTCTTGGATTGTATTTGCGGTTACCGCCTGTCCATGTAGGATAACTGGCTCTGACAGACGTGGGAGGGATCATCGATGGGATGGAAACTTTACCACTAAAACTACCTCCTGAGTTCTTGGCTGGTTCAACTCTGATAAATTTGTCATACAGCTTGGTTCCATTCAATTGAAGTAAGTGGTCTACAAGTCAAGACAGTCGATTCAATGGCTTTCAAAATAATCGACATGGATAGCATGTGGGTAACTATAGATTATTTAGATAAACAAGTTGTTAAATGGATATGATTCTTCAACAAAGATTATAAATTAACATCAATCAGGCCCCAGTTGTTCAAAAGATTGATAACGCTATCCACCGGATAAATCTCTATCCGGTGGATATTGCAATCAGTTTCCCTAATACTTATCCAATGGATAGTGTTTTATCCTGTGGATAGCGCTATCTAATGTTCAAACAACCGAGGCCTGATGTTTTATCCAAAAGGACACAATGCAAACTTACTTGCAAGGTCCTCTGAAACAGTAATAAATGCATATTTTTGTGAAGACCCTGAACGTTCCTGAGCTAATTCAATCCATGAAGATGAGCGCACATAAGGTGTACTGTTGAGACCAAAATGGCGTTCTAGGTCCTCTTTGGTCACTTTTGGTGATAGATTCCCTTCACACAACAAACCAAACAAAAATTAATATGAGTCAAACACTGATAACCACTACACTGGTTATATAGACTGACTGTCCTATACGTGGTCAGCACCTCAATACTGCCTTTAAAGGAGTCCATTAACATATTCATGATCCATCAAGCACATCAAACTAATCGACCAATTGCTTCATCTTTGATCTTGCTTTTTTGTTATACCGTATTTATTCGATTAAGCGCCCAGGGCGCTTATTTAATTTTTGGACTTTCAGGGTGGGCGCTTATTCGAGGTGGGCGCTTATTCGAGGCTGGGCGCTTATTAAATTTTCACCATTTTCAGTAAGTTAAAAGTTTATTTTGTAACAAAACAATAAATAAGAACAAAACATGACAAAATGTTAAAGCATATAAATTGTAGGACATGTGCCAATGGAACTGTCTTACCTTATCTATACATTTCTGAGAGCTTGCGACGATAATGAGGTTTCTGTTAAAGTAACAGGGTCAAGAAGGCTTGAGAACGGACTTGTTGTGCCAGGAACATTCAAAGCGCGGACACCAAGAAGGGCTATTGCCACGAAGTTTGAGCGGGAGATTTTGCGGCTGAAAGAACTTTGCGCCCACATGGACATTTCAGTTGAAACTTTGAGAAAAATTCCTACGTTGTCTTAAAATTTTCAGACAATGAAACTAGAGATTGTAAGCCATTAAAGAAATACCGTAGTAATCAATACCGGTACCTCTTGTGCACTTTATTATGGTATTATTATTTTTTTTTTGGGGGGGGGGGGTGGGTGGGCGCTTTTTCGAGGTTGGGCACTTAAAAGTACTTTTTCGGGGGGGGGTGGGGGGTGGGGGTGGGCGCTTATTCGAGGCTGGGCGCTTATTAAATTTTTCTACCTTCAGGGTGGGCGCTTATTCGAGGTGGGCGCTTATTCGAGGTTGGGCGCTTAATCGAATAAATACGGTATATTATCAACCAGTTTAGTGCGTAAATTCCATTTCAACTCTAACAACATGGCAAATCAGTACCAATTCTTGGTTTGCAACCACGTGAAAAAGCGGCCATATTGGGGGTCAATACAATAGAATTTTTTTCTCAAATAATTTACATGAAAATAGAGTTTAGTTCTCGGAGGAGAGAAATGCTTTTGTTCTTGACCACCAACATGGCCCCTGTGACATCATGTGCAAAGCAGCAATGGTTTGGTCCCCAACTGGCAACCTAAGGCTTCATTAAGACGGCACCAGATGAAATTCAACCTACTGAAAAATTTGAACAGACACTTCATTCACACTGTTCAATATTTTTGCTCTATACGCACAGAGCTTTGAAGGGCTACATGTTTTAAATTTTCAGACAGGTAAGGTGGTTTCGTGTGAACTGAGCACGCATGAATTTTCAACCGGTCCAAAATTCGTCAGGCGTCGTATGAACGCACGGTAGTCTATTAAAGTCAGTTTTGCAACAGATTAAACGTCGATTAAAAGAAACATTTTGCAAGCAAAACAAAACTACCAACAACAAAAACAATAACTTATCATATAGGTGCTATAAAAACAATACACCAACTAATGATTAATAAGGGTCGCCCCAGAAATGAAAAAAGGATTGTTGTGTTGGTCGACACCGGCGTTTGGAACATATTATTGGACTCTTCTTAGCCGATACACGAACAAAAAAGTTAAGTTACCGAGACTTACCAACATAAAAACGTCGATTTGTGGACATTATGTAAGAAAAAGGTAAAACGTACGCACAGAAAGCTAAAAAAGATGAAAATAAAAGGTGTAGATGTTGTAGACCTGAGATTGCAGCTGAATCACGTGTAACACTTTTGGGTCAGCGGTAAAATTTTGACAGCTCTAAAATGACGTCAGTCTTAGAGCCCAGATCCTTTCTGCCATTACTAAAACAGCCTGGGAGAGTTTGCATGCTGCTTGCTTGCTGTTTGTTGCGGGAAATTTACGATTTCTGAGAAAGGCTATTGTTAAACTAAGAGCTATGCCCCTCATTCGGCCTAGACATGTGCTGTCCTTTAGCAGTGAGGATGTGGTAAGATCTAATTCTTGTCCGTTTTCACGACAAAGAGTCCACCAAACACAGCTGTACCTTGTATGATCTGAGCTGAATCAGCTGTGTTCCGACTTTTCCCTCAGGTGGCTTTTAGCAAACATTTGCTAACAAACGTTTGCTCTTATTAAAGGCTCAACCAGCACAGAACCTGCTCAAATCAGAAACTTATAGAAAATGGAGGTGTGCCTCTGGCGGAGAGAAACAAGCTTCTATTATTTTAGAGGTAAATATATAACAACAATTTGCCTTCTGTCCTCTTTGAATTAGAATGAATACAATGCAAATGTATCAAATACATTTAGGAAATGTACTTGAACATTTAAATTGTAAGATAATGGATGCAACAGGCACTGATAAAAGATTCCACTCTGTTGAAAGTTTCTACCGCCAATAATTTCTGCCCGTCCTCTTGTTGTTACACATTTAATAGTTGCCACTGGACAACATGAACTGAAAGGAACCTTGCTGTCATAGTGGCATTCACTTGTTTAAATGGACACAAAGCTTTAAAACATTCATTTGGTTCCCCTAGTAACTCATTAAGAATCAAACCTCCCCTGTCCCCAAGCAATGATGAACCTTGTTTTTTCTTTACAGCTTACTCAGGTGCTGATAACTGTTTGTTTATAATACAATAATAGTTGGAGGATTTTTGCAAAAGTGATTCTTACCATATGATTTCCTCAGATGATATTGTTGTATCATGAAAGGAGGTTTTTTTTTAAATTTTGTAGCGTCAACTGGAGGATGTTTTTCAAGAGTGAATATCCCATTGTAGATGGAGAACTTGAAATACTCACCCACTTTAAAGGGAACATACCTCTTGGCTATTTGGGTGGAATATCACAGGCCTTTTAAGATCTCTTTGTCATTTGAGTGTCTGTTTTATTCACTGTTTATGTAGCTTGAACGAGCAATGCGGATACACTCCATTGATATAGGTATGAAAAATGATACTCTCAATTTTAAGTGAGTGTTAAAATACTCAGATGTATCAGGCAAGAACTGAACACCATGCCCTATATTTCCTATGCCATAATAGAGAAGTTTAAGTTAAACAAACAAACAAGCAAACCAGCCAAAGAATATATGCATTGGTGGTTTTTGTATTTTTAGATTCCCCTATTTCTTTTGTCTTGCATAATCTGTGTCCATTCTTGTTTTATGATTCATAAATTCTGTCATATCAGAATATGAATTTTTACCCAGCAGAAAAATTATTATTACTCATAATACAATATGCTGTATATAGTAAATCTGTATACATTTTGCATGGTGAGATAAATAACAGTTATTTTAGTTCTTGATTTCTTTGTTCATACTTCATAGATTCTAATAAATAGCCAGATATATTTTTGGGTAGGTAACAATGGCTCTGCACTTGTGGAAGTTTTGGTTGGTAGATCATCCTGGAGTTCTAATGAACAGTATCAGGTATTGAAAATAATTCAGTCATAATATTCATCTTAGTTATATGTCTATCAAAAGGTTAAGTTATTTGAGTCACCTGTACACCTCTGTGAATTTCAATACATTCAAACTAACTGAGTTGATGAATAATAATGTTATCAAACACTAAACTCCTGCTTAGCTAATTACTACTTGTGAAGTTTTAGTATAAATGTACAGATCTCTGCTCATTGTTTCATCACATCTGGTCTGTGTGGGCTTTATATTATTGCTTGCCTTCAGCTCATCATTGTAAATTCCAATGCATAAGAACCTCATGCTCATAGATTATCTATCACACAATAAGATGTAAGAGATTTAGGCTATCCTTTTTGCTGAGGTTTATGATCAGTTAAGACAAATATACAGTTGTAGCTCCCACATATGTACATGTATGACAAACTTTAAGATCATTTTTTATTTTCCTGAGCATTGTTATGGTGTTATTATTTTTTTAGGTACTTCTTGTTGCTTCCTCTTTTATGAGCCCAGCTGAAAGTAAATCATTTACCAACATTAACAGAGTCAGAATGTTTGGTAAGTTATTCATACATGTTTCAATTACAAAATTTAACTGGATGAAAATTTAGATTCAAATCAAATGTGCCTGTCTAGGCATATATCTGTGTATGCATGTATGTACATGATGCAAATAATTGCAAACTAGGGGAAACCAGGGGCAAAGATGGTAAAAATATTTTTATTAACTCTACTGCATTTTTGTGTGCATATTGTAGTTCTACTGAGTTGATACCTGTTCTTCTAACCGCTAGGAAAAAACCAAGGCCCTTGGTCCGTAGTGACTGTGACATTGTGAGCAAAAGGGATTGCATTGTCTTTTGTTGGGATCTTTGATTTTTAGTACTTGTCTTAAAGACCCGAGGGGCAGAGGAATTATTGAAAGCACTGTCTTCCACTCCCTGTGTCATATACTGTCCTTAAGATGACTGAATCAGGGTTGTCACTAAGATTTCAAGTTGCCGGGTAAATACAACAAGTAGGCGGGGAATCAAACGGCTAGGGATTTCTTTTGGTTCTATTTTTCTTCTATTTTCCAATAAAAGTAGCCGGGGGCCACTCTATTAGTGGCCGGGGAAAATCCCCGGCCCCCAGCTCTTAATGACAACCCTGCTGAATCATTATTTTTGTGTAAGGGTTAACTTAAAACAAAAGGAATCAGTGATTGATGTTTTGCTTGATTTGACACTGAATTGTAGCATTACCCACTCAGTTGTTATCATCTTCTAAAGTGAACTTTCATATCTTACTACAGGCCCTGACAAACTGTCCAAGCCAGTGGCTGCACAAAAGTGGGACCGGATCAAATTAGTTTGTACACAGCCATTCAACAAGGTACATACAAGACAGGGGCGGATCCAGGGGGAGGGTGCAGGGGGTGCGCACCCCCCCCCCGGGATGACCTGCGGCCGCTTTCTAATTAACACTGTGCAGTCGCTTGACAGACATACAAAATCTGCTCTATCGTTTGACATGTATTCTCAGCAGTTCACATTATGTTATTTCCTAGTCAAAAGCCCTCTTCCTCTTCGCTTTTAAAATTTTTTACGTCATCAGTCAGTTAGTGGTGCACCCCCTCCTAACAAAAATCCTGGATCCGCCCCTGCAAGATTATCCTTAGCCCAAACCAGTAGTGAAATTGTGTTCTTCAGTTATGAAAGAAACTTATGTGCTATATTAAGAGGGCAGGAATGAAACAAAAATAAGCAATCTTAAGAGGGGCCTCTCCAGGAAAGGTGCTCCTGAAATTTTAGGTGGGGTAATGTATCTACTGATCTCCTGACTTCAGGTAGAATTAAAATGACACATCTAATAGCAAATTACTCAACATGAATCTACTCCTGAGGAAATGCTATCATATTCATTGTTGAGTTATTTATTATGAAATAACACTTGCATGTCTTAACTTTCAGAATGAACAGTATGGCCTGTCATTCATAAACCTTCATTCCCCTCCTGAGGATACAGATGAAGGTGATGTAAAGAATACCACAATTTCAAGTCCTTCTGTTGCGAATCCAGTGAGTATAAGAACTATGAAATAACATGACTGGGTGGTATGTATAACATCATTGGTGTGGAGTGCAGAATGGGATTTTAGGCTACAAGATGAACATGTAGCCACATTCCTTTCTGCATACCAAAAAATAAAGTATTCACACACTTCAGTTTTAATCTTTTGAGTAAATGACATCTTTTTGGCTCTGATTTAATTCTCTTATGACAGTTGGAGACTGAATGGGACATGCAGCGGTCTAGTAATGGAGTTAAACTTTAAAATCATAGTAAATTAGAATGACCAAACGTCTTCTTGATATTAACCTTAAATGTAAAAACTGGCCGGTACATTTTTTAGCAAATTCACATTAGACATGTAACAAGGAAAGAGAAGAATAGTTTTTGTCATAGAAGAATTACTTTGAGACATAAGCAGTTTTCAATAACAACAAAACTTTGTGGTTAATTAGTGTTGCAGTGGGTCATCACCCTTGTAAATCTTGTGTTAGACAGTTAATAAGTCTTAAAGAATTTCTTTATAATTTGAGGCCTCTAAGAGACTTGGACGGTTCACTCTTAAAGATGACAGTGACAATGAAGAGACGAGTATTTCATCTGGAAGTCTTTTCTTCAAAAAACTTCAAAAGAAAGCATCTCTGCCACCCATGTCTATGGCTGCTGAAGTGAGAGCAGCATCAACAGCTACAGCTAGTTCCTCTGATGATAAAAGAACTAGTGACACCAGCGGTTTTAAAGCAACTAAAGACAGACAGTCAGTACCCTCAGACAGGCAACCAGTGGCCTTGAACAGGCATGTAGAAGCTAAAGATAAAAAAGGGAATAGCAGGACAACCTCTCCAAAACCTGAGCAGAAAAGTGCCGAGAGAAGAATAAGTGAGGTAATTTTCTGAGTTTTCTTTTCATCAACATTACAACTGTAAAATAATTTTTTTAAAAAAATTTCTAAATTAATTTTTTTTGTTCTAGAGTACAAAAAGAAAATATGACGATCTGCCAAAGGAAAACAGCAGAGGGAAATCACCTCCACCATCAAAAAGGAAAAGAGGCAATTTTTATTTCCTGAATTCTAAATGTCTATGATATATGTTATGTAAATCGTGTAAATCAAGCATGCGGGTTGGACATTTATTAATCTATCTCTATTTCTACATACTGCGCTGTGTTGTCAAGCAGTGAGTACCACTAGAACATCAAACATTTAATAACATACAATTTATTACTCAACTCTTCATGCTTTACAAATTTGATTGCTCAAATGCTGCTCTATTATGTTGGGCAGGGGAACTGTTTAATCATTTTATTTTTCTCTCGACAATTAATTTAGAATCCGTGAACAAAGATGACAGCCAAGTCACATTTGGTGAAATAATGGTGAGTTTATTTTTAGTGATAATTCACCAAATTATCATAATTTTTACCATCATTATGAGTGTTAATATTAACAGGGAGAGAGTAATGCTGCAGAGTAATTATTCAGTCACTCACAACCTTCAATCTGGACCCCCCAACCTATTGATTGATGCATTCTACCCCAATCATACATGTAAGTTCAAATTTCCACTGGCAAAGTCCTGGGGTTTCATACCTGGCAGGGGGGGTGCTTTAGGAATACCAGACCTTGTTTAGCAGGATCTTGCTGTCCTATGCTAGACTAAACCAAAAAAAAATCCCATCTTTGTTTTTAAACTGAGTTGCGGCTAAATTTTCCTGTTTTCCTTAGTCTAGACAATAATCTATAACCAATTGATTAGTTTCCTGGCTAATGATACCTTATTCTAGAACAAAACTCTCTGACCTCTACACACTATCCCAGACTAAACTGCTTGAAAACCATACCCTTCACAGCGGCACATAGCTACAGTGTGTACAGCCCATATATGGCAGTACTCCCCGGCGAATCCCAAGGGTACATTAACCGTACACACAAAAAAAGAAAAGAAAGAAGTCATTAGCTTATCAGAGTCAGAGTCATCGATATTGCAGGACTTCCCGTCTATGTATTTGCCACTTTTAGAGATATTTATTTCTCAATTCATCTTTCATTTGATGATTGTTAGAAAGATGTGGTGTTCGTGATGAGTGGATTTGTTAACCCTGAGCGGGGTAATCTTCGTGATAAAGCTTTGCAGATGGGTGCTCAGTTTAAGCAAGATTGGGGAAAAGGATGTACTCATCTCATGTGAGTAAAACATAAACTCTACATATTAACTGATAACTTATAAGAGGTTCGAGTGATATCCAGTCCTCTTCCCGTAACCATCATTGTATTCCCCCTAATACACTCTGTTTGCCCCCCAAATTTTGCATAAGTTATTGTTTTCAAATGCTCTTGAAAATATGCAGACCTCCCTGGAGCATCTGAACACAATAGTTTATTCAAAATTCGGACAGCAAACAGAGTATATTATGGGAAATTCGAAACTAGACAATGTTACGCCCCTTTTATCAGACGAAAGTAAAAAGGCATAGAACGAGATCGTATTAATAAGTTCGAAACCAAACCACCAATTAAACATGTTACTGAAACTGAAAAGTTATTATATATTGAAGGAAGTAGACCATCTACTCCTCAAGAAGACAAAGGACGTAAAAAAGCAATTGCCTGGTCACGTGTACGCAATTAATCTTACGGTCATAAGAGATGGACTTTTTGTGGGAACTTGATTAACAAACTGCAAACAACTAAAGCTCTTGTTCGTTCTCTTACAGTTGTGCCTTCGCTAATACTCCTAAATTTAATCAAGTAAAAGGTAAAGGAAGGAAGGGATTAGCTTCTAAAGAAATTATCTGTGGTGCTGGCGTCCATGGTGGAGTGAAATGCCAAAATTTGGTTTCATCAACTAAGTTGATAAAGTAGATTGGTGACCGCTGAGGGATTAAGAAGTTGCAGGCGTTTTGAGTGTAAGCCTTTCGTCAGAACGAATGCTTGTCAATCCCACTACGGTGGCCGATCCACTTTATCAACTCAGTTGATAGAGAAAAAAAATCGTTTTTCAAGTTCAAAGGGAAAATCCTGGCTCTGATTCAGTCTTCGTTCTAGGATTAGATTGTACGTACAACATTCTTTTTCAAAAAGCGCGCGTGGGTGTTTGGCTTTTGGAAAGCAGGAGAGCAAGTTTCATCGGCGCTTCTTGATCAATTTCCTTCTCTTATTATGAATAGAGCTTTTCATGGACCACTCACATTCAAATTTGCTGCTTCGCTGATTCTGAATAAATAATCATGGTCCCACATTCTGCGCGATGATGTCTAAAGTAAAGGTTTTGCTCTTGTAAAAATTTTTGATCAACAAGAATTGCTGTCAAAGAAAGGTTCATAACGTACAGTACCAAGAGATTCCAAACAAAACGCGCGAAAAACCATCAGCTGATGCAAAACTCGGGATAACGCGGGACTGGTAACACCCACTGTAGGCGAGTGAGGAAAAAAAGGCAGCCAGTGGGAACGGCGCATACCAAGTGCCGGTAAAACGGGCTGATGTTGCCTTACTTTGGGAAATAACTCGGGAAACCACTAAGAGGGAACGGTTCACTGGAAGAGTATTTTTAATGAAGTGATACCGTCAATAAAGCTTGTTTGCTTGATTGATTGATTCCCTTTTCAATTTGCTAACCATTTTGGTGAACGGAAAAAAATTAGGCCTTAGTTTAGCTACCATTTCAATTATGTGGCCAACCTAATCCAAAGGCCTTTGTAGTATGTTTGTAATGTCGTCCGGACCATGACTCTAAACAAAAATACTGGCCGTGGCACTCAATATTTCTCTTCTTTTAGGTAAAGGGAAAATTGTTACGAAAAAATGGATAACTGATTGCTTCAAGAAAAACAGACGCTTACCCACACGAGAGTAAGTCAAATTCCCTTTTTCCACTTTGATTTTTGAGTTAAAATTTTTCTGTTTACTCGCTGCAGTCATTGTATTGATTGATAGCTTACTCAGTGGAAAAGCGTCCGATATAGAACTCGGACGGTTGCGAGTTGAAATTTCATCTGGAGCTCGGAATTTTTTCAGAGCTTTCTGATGTTAGATTTTTCTTTCTTTCAAAATGTAATGAGGTACAGGACGCCTTTCTGCTTCTTTCTACACGTGTGCGTGGTGTATTGCGTGGACCTATATTTTGGGAGACTGTAACGAAAGCCCTGTCGTAACTTTTTCTTCCTTTCCCAGCTACCATTTGCCCGGTGATAGCAGCTCATCTGATGAAAGCAGTGACGAAAAAGATATTAAAGCTACGAGACCAGTCAAGACAACGACAAGCACGGAAAGAGGAGAGAGAAAAAGGGCTGGATCTAAGGTTATAGCTGTAATCTAAGTAGAGCGTGTTTTCTAGAAAAATATAGACTGGCTGAGGAACAAATTTTGTCCATGGAGATTTCAGAGCACTTGAATGCTGCGGCGAGTATTTCAAGGTCACATGATATCTAACTTTGAAACTGTTTCCCGCCAAAAATGAGCGGGCGGGCAGTTGTCAAATCTCTAAAGTCTTATTTTTTTTCTTTAGGAGGAAACGTCTCCCGTGAGCGATAAGCGTCCCATTGGGAAAAACACTCAAGCCTCAGAGGCAACTGAAACAAAAGGTTAATAGCCAGCATTTACACTTTTAGTACATTAAGGAGTAATCAGGAAATTTAACTAACGATATATAGATGGACAATTTGCTCTGCGATATAATTATTATGTTAATAAATGGCTCTTCCTCTTCTTTTTAGATGAACCCAAAAAAGCGAATGACGCAGACGATATTTACGGCGGCTCAACTGATGATGAGTCAGCAGAACTAAACCAAAGTAAAGAAATAGAACATGTTGCACCACCGAGGTCAAAAGAAGCTTCTTCATCCAGCGATCTTGACACGGAAGACGAATTAAAGAGGTCCGTGAAATATTCGTAACAGTGACGCCTGGTTCCTAAATAAGGTTCATAGCATGCGCAGGAAAAAAAGCTTGACAGCAGAACAAGCTCCTAGGGGAGGAGAGGGTGGAGTAGATTGCGGCGACGCTCGCCCTAGTCCCTAAAGTTTCATAATTTTGATAGCTCCCCAAAGGGATGTCTTATTTGGATGCACTGTGTGCAATGGCCTTTTTGACTTACCAAAAAATGTGCGTTGAAGTCGATGAAGTATTTTAATAGCTCAACTGAAAAGTTTACTTATTGTCTTGTTTTTGTAGAGTTCAAGGAGAAGATAAAGACGACGAAGATGATATTTACGGTGGAACAACCGACGACGAGCAAGAGGAGACGACAAAGAAAGGTACTGATGCTTAAGAAGGAGCTATTCACCCTTTAAGCACCTCAGCAAATTAGGGAGAAACGATTCTAATTTCTTTGATCCAAAGATTTGGTAATAGCGAGTTTTAAGAATATTGACCACACATTCGAACAAATTATGGTGATTATATTTATGTTTATGCTTTTTAACTGTTGTTTAAGGTTTTAAGGTTGCCTACTTGACGGTGAAAGACTTTGGGAGCGGGACACCTTCATGTGAATATGACATTTAAATACCGTTATATCCCGATCTGTGAAGTGATCCTCATTCAAACTCGCCTGTTTTTTTATATAGATGAAGCAGAATCCGCTGACGATGTTACCTCGGGCTCAGAAGACTTGCCTGAGTTACCAGATTTCTTTTCTCACAAACATTTTATGTTGTACGGTGAAATTGAAAGTACGACCAGGAGACTGTTGATAAGATACATCACAGCATATAATGGGTAAATAAGACTTATTATTCTTTTAAATACTCAACTTATAAGTCACACATTAACACAATGAGCAGGCCTACAGGCTCGGTGAGTCAGCTCACTAGTTATCTCTACCGTCACCTTGTCCTCTCTTGGCGGGGAAACAAATACAGTTTACAATTTCCTTGAACAGTGAGAGCTGAGAGATCGCAGCGATACCTGCCAGTACACAACTTTACATTAAGTCACAACCTTATATTAAAGACTTTAAGATTCTAAGTCAAGAAGAGGACGAGATTTTCTGGGTTAAATATATGCTTCCGGATTTTCTCAATTCTTAATAGTGCGCTCTCGTGATCCAGCGTCATTTTGGCGAGAAAACGCGATAGCTGTCGTCATTCTACTGCGGCTTTTTAGCGCGAATGAGGTGGTGACGGAAAGAATTTGGCAAATCATAGAGGTTTTTCATTTTGCATTGGGAAGAGGGCTTAAACTCCTTCAATAAAAAATAATCGTGCTACCTTTTCTGATGTAAAAAGTAAAATAAGACTTTCGAGGGTGTCTATTTTTTTATAATACGGGAAAAAAGCTTGAAGTGTAATCTCCTCTTCGTATTTGTCCCAGCCTGTTTACAGACGCCCCCTTTCGTCCTCGAATTTAGAGGTCTCTATAAAGAAAGACAAAAAGTTAAAGTTAATATTTTAACCGTTAAAATCAATTATGTTTGTGGTGGCTTTTGGTCTTAAATCGTTGTTCTAAAATGTGTCAGATATACAGTAAGTGTCTTGCGTCCCTTTACGCTTTTTACATGCCCCCTGCGTGATCAACTATTACCTCAATCCGGCTGAAGTTTAATGACCTTAGAGAGAGACCGTAACATTCAAATTTCGGGCTTGTTCAGGCCGCATTTGTTCATCAACTGGATAACTTGTACTATTGGTCGTTTGAAAATACTGGGGCTGTTTTAGTTCGCAGTCTTCGTCTTTTCCTTTTTCTTTTTCTCAGTCTTAATTTTTTTTTCAGAATTGTCGAAGAGTACATGAGTGATAATGTGGACTTTGTTATTACCAACGAAAATTGGGATAGAAATTTTGATGAGGTGAGTTAGAAATCTGTGATACTCTTCACGATAACTTGCGATAAAAGACGAAACAGTGAAACAAATAAACAGTTTTTTTTTTGGCCGAAGTCGATTCAAGGGACTGATTGCATAAAGAGGATAAAGTAACTTGAGATTAAATGCGACTTTTTTTGCAACCATCTCCTTTGTTCCAGACAATTTTTTTGAGAAAATAAAAAAGAGCTCACGAGAGAATTCACAACGTAAAAAAATATTTGGATTAACCAAGAAAAATGAAATGAAATGTTCTTCGAAGCCAAGGCGTTTTGCTAGTCTGGATTACAGCGCATGGGTTAATTTCTTTGATCGGACCAACGACTACTGCACTGTGTCGATGCATAAAGATTGCGTCATTGTGTTTTCGTCTATGCAAATTTATTGAAACCAAAGAAAGCGGCACAAGGAGTTCAACTTATGTTTGGGACCCAACATGGCTGATACATACATGGCCGCCGTGACGTAGGATATAACAAATACCCACGAGAAAAAAATTCGTTTGTTTACTCACTTTTCTATCCATCGACGGACTGACTGCCCCTTTGTAAGGTGGCTTTAACTTGGCCTTTGGTTTGAGACTGTACTGAATGATATTATTATCGTTTTCTCTTTCCCAGGCCCTGAACGAAAACGCTTCCTTGGCTTTTGTGCGCCCCAAGTGGATTATGGTTTGTCATGAAAAAGGTGCCCTTGTTCCATTTCAGCCATACATAATTGTTCCTTCATAGTGTGGGTTAAAATTAACACATGAAACATTCGTACTCAAAGAGTAGATTCACTGTCAACGGTGTGTACGCACAAAGGAGCACAGTCATGTTATCGTGGGGGTTATGACGCGAAGATTTCCCGACAACTGAACGAGGAGTAACGAGAATTAATAGGCCTGATCAGGAGAGCATAAAGCTTGGATTGGAAAGGAGCTGTTTAACGGAACTTTCTTCAAATAAGCGGTCGGTTTTCTTATTCAGTTCACCTTGATACTCGAATCTATCGGTCTTTTCTAGAGAGAGAATAAATTGTCATCAAATTTTTGAACATAGATCTATAACATGTCGTACCATGAACTGTGTTAAGTTTTAATTTAGACGATGGTTAACACAGGAGATATATCATTCTTAATTTATAAGCTTTCATTAAAAAAATGAGAATATCTATAATCTTTACTGCTATACCTTAACTTATCATTTTTTACCGGAAGCAAAGGCTCTGTAAGGCAACTGACACAAAAACAGAAAAAACGTCAAAAAAATCCTTAATTTGTCGCGTCGAGCAACGCATAAGAAGTGAATTTCAGCTCAATCAAGGCTCGAACCACGATGCTACTATGCAGAAAATCTGTCTTTGTTCCCTACTGACCGGTGAAGGTAAGCCAGTGCCTGAACTTATTAGCTCGTCTGAAAATATATACTATTTTATATCATAAATACCATATATACGCGCGCGTGTTACAGTGAGAGGGATTTCGCACTAAAAATAATAATAAAAAACTCATGATAGCTACCGCATCGTCGTCAGGGCATAGTAGAAATATTTATAACCCAGCGATAAGTCTATAGTTAAGAAAGATCACCTACTTAACTTGCAATTAATTACAAATCGTTTGCACCCAAGACACGCACATGCATGCTGGCATGGTAATGTATTTTCTTAAAACTTCCGGTGAGCCGTAGCGATTCGAGCACAGTGCTACTTTCGAAGGCGATTCTGAATTGTCAGTTGAAGGTGTTAATTCACTCAAGACCTTTCTCTCTCTCCGGTGAGGTTCTCGTTAGGGACTGGTAACCTGAATGTAAGAGAAGTCTTCAAAGAAACCCAAGGTGTCTTCAGTCTATCCGCGCATGCCGCACTCTCTGGCAAGAGATTTTATCTAACTATAGTGTGATGTCTCCCTGTCTGATTTTGAGTTGTGCCTATAATTCTGAGAACTTAGACTTTCTAAACGTCTGTTTTGCCTGGATTATCCGTACTTCTCCCGACTTCGTTGCTCGAAAAAGTCACGTTGTGGACAAGTCGAACTTAATCTGACTTCACTTTTAAGCAAAAGCTTCAGGCTTAGCAGTATTTTTCCTTAAGGCCCTTTAATACACTGGGTTATGTTTCAACATTTCTTTTATGTGAAAAGTCTGTCAGCCTTAAATTGTGATCATTCAGAAAGAATCTGTATTAAACAGTCCTTTCTCGCTTGGCTGTTGCTTCTTAGTGTTGTATACAAGACAATGTTACAAGGTGGTCCTCTCCAGTTTGGATGCATGCAACGTGATCATTTGATTGAAAGCTTTCTAAGTGGTACTTCCTTTTGACATCGTTCAGTTTATTGTACTGTACAAGATGGTTCTGAAAGTTAAGTTGATGGATGAAATTCTAAAACGTTTAATGGCAGCCTAATAAAAGCTACCGTTTGTTTCCGTTGTTTTGCTGTGTTCAGTGTTTGGTATGTTTAGTCGAGATGAAACCGTAAAACGACCGAAATACATAGAAAAATGCATTTTAATAGCATTAATGTAAAAGCTGCTGTTTTGTAATTTTGTTTTTTGTCATTTTAATGTAATGACCGTCTGATAATCAACCGAAGTGACCTTGGATATTTTTTTTGTAGCAGAGCCATTCTCAGCGATTCTGAGGGTATTTTGTTTATTATGCTGCAGTTGAAGGTGGCTTTTAAAAGCTGTGCACTGTACCAGTGAAATCCTAAACTGTAAACAGCCAAGTAATAGGTTTTTGAGCATTGCTTTGTATTCTGATGCTTCTGAGTGTGGTTTTATCTTCTAACTGTGGGTGGAATCGTAAATTGGGATCTTTTATAATTTGATGCTATTAAGAAAAAGAAAAGAAAAAACAGTCTGTCAGCAGTAACAATAAGTTTCGGTTATCAGAGTTTGCCTGTAACCTAATCTCCAACACATCCCACTCTTGTCATCAAATGTTTTATTTCGTGTTTTTGAAAAGTTAAACTATTATTCAGGATCACGACACAATGGCGAGACCATCAGGCCGGGTGTGTTAATGGCTACGATCTCAGCCATGCTACGACATCTCACGCAATCCATTTATCTTTCTTCTTCCTCGTTTTCAAATCTCCTGTCATTTACTCGTCTGATTCTAGTCTCATCTTTTTGCTTTGCTTTTAAATTAAGAATATCGCGCAAGTCTCGCCATTTTTAACGACCCTTTGCCGATAAATGTAGTACAACTTGCCGGCCTTATCTTCTTGCTTATGAGGAAATAATCACCCGTATCTCACTGTTAGGTGTTTCCTTAATCTCTGCAACAGCTTATAGATTAAATATCCCAGCGACGTGTGGGTGGACTGTTAACAAAATGGCCGAACGTTATCACCTCTGCTACTCGGGTTACTTCCTGTAACTGAAACACGCGAAATCTTCGCCTTAATGTCATTTACTGCAATCTGCAGCTATTAATTCGTAGTTCCTAAAATATGGTGCCATTTATATCCACTTCCGCGGTGAATTTTATTTAATCGGAATTTGTAAATGTCAGGAAAGAAACGTGATTAGACTGGGGCGCTCCTAATTACATGGCAGTAGTGTTGACTTCCTAGAATATGTTAGTAAAACTTACCTTTTTTATCATGGGCTTACTTTATACAGAATTATCGGGAATTCAGATTTATATATTAGAAGATTAAAAAAAATAAACTTCAGTGGGATGGCTTATTTCTTCAATGTGCTTTCAAAACGTTTATAAATTTTTTTACGTCATAGCTTTCTTTAGCGTCAAAAAATTGCTATATTTTTATCATTAGACAAAAAAAGAAATACTTTATTCTCAAACTCTCTTCCATTCTTTAGAATACTCAATTCTGAGAATGATTATAACTCGTTTTATGGTGGTAATTGAATAATGCATTATAGAGTCAAGAATATCACACATCCTTTGTTATATTATTTAAGTAGATTTTTGCCCATAAAATGTGTTTTCCCTTCAGGCCAGTCACGGAGTTCACTGAGTTCCAATATTGTCATGGCTTTAATATTAAACAGTTGGTTATGGAATAGGCTGCGAATACAGCCGCCTCTCCTTGCTCCTCACCGCTAAGGACGTTTCGCCTCTCCTCGTTTCTCGCCGCTCAGAGGAGAGACGACTGTATTCGTAGGTAGTAGGGGAAAGCCATTGTTTAATCATTTGATGCGATTTTCCGGCACAGACTCCAAATTTTAGGATCACTTTAATTACATTGTGGTGAATTATCCCACCAGCAGGCATTAAGAGCTAGAAAAACAGTGAGGAACGTAGTTTTAAAGTGTTAGAAATAAACAGTGCCACTGAGAAAATTGTGCTTTGAATGTTCAGGTTAAGGTTTTCATCGGTAGCCATTCGAGCACCTTGGACATTGTAATTAGCAACCCACGGCAAAAAAAAAGACACTGCTCCTATTTCAGTAAATTTCATCCAAAAACGTTAAAAAATACAATGTGCATAATACATAAAATGATAGATAAATGTACCTCCGTCGCAAAAGACTTTGCTCAGTGGCTTTTATTCAAAATGCCTCATCTTTTACTCGTTACTTTTCAGTAAAAATTTAGAGTGATGAACTTGTCTTGTACAACATAACATATGCAGGACGAAAAAGCTATTTTTTTGTATTGTTCCATAGACCGCCTTCAGAGGCCCGGCGTGTTATATATAAAGCCACTGTTTCCGCGCTCTGCCCGCCTCACGCAGACTGCATAAGCCGGCCGGACCACCTTGTACATGCTGTACAACATTACGTTGAGAGGGACTGCTTAGTGGCTTTCATCTTAAATGTCGGTTTCGTGTTTGGGTCGGAAAGACTGCGAAACTCTGCATCATGAGAAAGCTGTTACATGTTAAACTGATTTGAATAACTCAGTACTGCGTTGAAAATTAAACCTTGCTTGAACAATTTTTTGAGGCAAAAATTCATATATATATATATATAAAAAAGCAGACAACTGTGTTCAGATAGGTAGGATAAAAACTACAAGGCAAGACAAATGAAACTTACGAAAACTGACGACATCATCGTCTTAATTTTTCTTATGCTTTTCCCACTGTAAATATAATACTGTAGTTTCGTGATTTTGGGAAGTTCTCTTTTCTGCGATCAAGAAATATCGGGTTGGGCTATTTTTGCGATAATAATCAGATATATGATGTTTAAAGCCGATTTGGCGCTCGGGGCAATAAAATGTTTTCTAATTTTTAATCTGAAAATTACTCAGAATATTTTTTGGGTAGTAATGTAGATTTTTGTCCTCCTGAACGATTTAACTTCCACTCTGAGCCCTGTTGAGTACGTAGGTTCGACTTTTATGAAGGAGGGTGAAATTCTAAATACTATCCATTTGATAAAAGAAGTAGTTTTCTATACTTACTATATGGTACTATTAATTTCTCATTATTTCACAGGATCAGTGAGATTTTTATTTTTCCTGGGGAGTCGAATGGTTTAAAAATAAATTTTATTGGTATTTTCGCCCCTTAACATACCAAAAAATTTTTCTCTGTGCTTAAGTTGTATTACACCCTTTTTATGTCAACAAAAGGTGGGGCTTAGCTTTTCTCTCGTTTTTTTCGACATAAAAACATTTGTCGGTTTCGGTCCTCAACGACTTTGTTGATTGATACGGATGATTGCAAGGTTCGTTGCGGTCTTTGACAGACTTTGAGGGGGAAATTCCATATCCTTATTACACTAATCAGGTGGAGAAATAGCGTTTTTAAAAATATGGATTCGAAGTAAATTGTCATTGCAAACACTTGCTTTTTCTTCCCGCTTTGTTTTTCAGATGTTTCAAGTTGAGTAACGTTGTTTTCTTAGACGTTCTTATCAATGGGGAATTTTTAGCGCTCGAACCATCTTGACCTTAAATAAGATTAACAAAGAGAGATTACAGTTAGAAGGTTAAAAGCATCCAAAAACCGTTAAAAGAAAGCCTTTGTTGAGAAATATGGAGACCGCAGTAAAGGTCGAAGATTACGGCCTTGAAAAACACCGTTTAACACTTTACGCGACGACTATTTAGGCGACATTTTAACGCATCGCGCGCGTGTTTGTAGTCTTTGTTCCTCGTTATAAAAACAGCCACTTAAACTGTTCTATTTAGCAAGGTCGGGTTTTTCCGTTTACTTCTCGTTTGAGAACTAGTCTCATGTTACAGCGCTAGGAAAGTGCACGCTAACTGAAAAGAGTGAATGCATTTTCGATTTTATTTTCGTGTCTTACCAGAAAAATTAGTCGCAGTTTCTCTTATAATTTGTGCTGAAGTTTGAAAGCCTTTTTGCCTGAAATTTTGGATCTGACATTATTATTGCAGTTATACTTGCGTGCATCGGTGAAGAACATGAGGGTCTTCTCGTTGACAAGGCGGCGAAATAGCTAAACATTGGTTATCGCAAAAATCTGACAGCCCTCATCATAATTGTCAACGCGTTTTACCCAGCTCACGCGAGGAAAACGCGAATAATATGACTTTAACACGCGAGCGGATGTCTAAAGCTTGTTTACATCTATTCAATACACCATTAAACCAAGCTGCTAGTCGTGAAGTAAGTAGCTAATATTTGCAGCTGCCATCTTAAGCATATACATCGGACGACATCCTGGTTTAGTTAAGAAGAACCTGTATCAACTAACTCTGTATTATTGGCTGCACTGTTTGCACTGTGTGTGCAAATCCAAAATATATTTATATTTATATATATCTTGATCAAAAGCTTTATGCTTCTGATCTTGAAATTTCTTACAATTGTAAAGATCCGAACGCGCTATTTTATTTATAATTTTTTTTTTTTTGCCTGTGGGAAAATTCAACATATTTCTTGCTTAACTCATTCTCTATTAACATGTGAAGTTATTTTCGCTTGTCGGCGGTCTTTCTTGAATCGCACTCAGCAAATTAAATGGGTAATATATCTTGTGATTAGTTTTGTATTGGTTTGCTTGTAGTTTCGCAGGGGAAATTGTTGGTATTAGGCATGTGGATTTTTTTCTAGTGGTTCGTATGATGCTGATATCATACAAAGCTAACACGAACTCTATGTTATTCTTTATATCTAGGTCTATTTGTTTTATTATTTGGCATTTTCTGTCGTCACTGAATCGATTTGAAGAGTTTTTATTCTCAATCCATTGAATTAAATATTCAGTTGCTTTATAGAGAGCGTGCTGAGGCAAATTTGGCATGAGTCTCAGAATAATTGAAATGAATCCAGCCGCAAAATTAAAAAACGCCTTGAGATCTTTTCATTACAGCTGGAAGCGAGAGGTATAATGACATCGTGGAGACTAAATAATTTGTCGGTAATAAAGCTACACCAGTGAGACAGAAAACCTTCGTGTTTTGAAAAAAACATAAACATTTGGCTTACTCCAAATTTTACGCCACGCCTCTAGAAATTAAGCTATTGAATTTTTTATCGCATAACATTCAGTGTTTCTAAAATTATTAATGCTGGGTCTCGTTCAAACCCAAAGCTTTTGTTTGTTATAAAACGGTTGTACCGGTTGCCGTAAGGAAAACATTCATTTAGAAATCTTTTAGTCCTTTCTTGGTATTGACAACAATCACTGCATGACGCGACTGCTAAAGAATAGAAAAACATTTAGTCTTAAAAAACGTAGCTGAATTTCCCTGTGTCTATTATTCCAAAATGAGCATGCTATATTTTGTTATTTTGATTGTTTCCCCATTTTCTTTGTTTCAAGATGTGTGGTTATTTTTTCACCATGGGGGCCTTCCATGGAATCACTTGTTCGTGCTTGGAAACCTCCTGCTTCACAATAAGAATTTAATTCAACGGGCCGTTTTCTCTGCTGCCCCAAGAAACAGAAAAACACCTTCGAATGTACCCCCAAAATAAATTTGAAAAAGTGAAACGTTAAAAAACCCTTTTTCAATTAAAATATATACTTCCCGTTTTATTTTACTGCATAAATAAAGGTCGTAAAATTTTCAGCCCTGCTGTTATTAAAGAAATTAACATTTGTCAAAGCCGGCGCGTCCATTTTCTTTTCGCGAAATGTAATAAAATTGCTTTTATGTCGTCTATTATTGTGAATATTTTCCACAGCGCAGAAACCGCATAGTAATATATTCTCACAGAAAGCGTGAAAGTCAATCATTTTCTACAAATGTGTAATTCCTTGTGAATGGTTGCAGTAATCAGTTTTTAATCGTGTAATATGCTTAGAGAAAATTAAATTAACTTCAGTGGCCAGTGAGATAAATTTTCTGGTCGTGGTTTAGGTTTTTTTTTTATCTTAAAATCTGCTAAATATTGCTAGCAACAGGAGGCCCGACGAATCTATTTGCATAAACCGTCTCGTTCTCGCTTACATTTTAATGAAACTCCTGCTCGAGAAAATCAAGCCAATAGATATTAGCCGTTACGTTAGCGTTGTTAGAGGAACCACCGTTACTAAGAACAGTAAAGATATCAAAGACAGAAATGAATTAAGGGAAGATAAATCGCTTTTTAGTGGCGCCTTAACGCTCGTATGAAGGCATATTTGAATCGGGCAGGACAATCGCCTTACGCGAATTAAAAACACTGTTCATATTCTCCTTTAAAAATTAAACCTAACAAACATGAAATACAAACAGTAAATGAATCCCAACTGCCAAGTCAAATTTCATCTCTTCTTGTTTCCTTTGTTGCGCCGTTCGTGCTAAGTGAATTTAAAATTCTTCGTGTTACCCATAAAAAGTAAAAAAAGAAAAACTCCTGGCTATTTTTTCATTGCAAATGTAATTGTAATGACTCGATGGACACCCAAGCTCGCAGAAACAAAAGATTTAACAGGGTCCTCTGTCGTTTGCGAATTACAATTCCATTATCAGAAAAAATACTACTACGTTTTGTTTGCTGACTGAAATAATTGGCTTTCGCATTTTAGCTCCTCCTCTAACACAACTTGCGAGTCCGAAACATCGAAAGTGGTAAAAAATATCATGCGTGGGATATCCTGACGAATACAACGGCAAAAGTGTTTTGTTTCAACGCGGTTTGGACACGCAAATGACTTTTCTCAAATCCGCAGGATGAAGGAAAATTTTAATTGGGGGGTTCAGCGTAAATTAAACGTGATTCTTTTCTTTGTTAATGTTTGTTGTTTTTTGATTTTTCTATTGTTAAACTGTGTTTCTGACTCAACGTTGGGCCATCGGATGATTGATAGGTGCTGTACATTATAAATTAATTAACATTGTTTGGAGCGTAACAATATATCAGATGATCACACCCGCGCTTGGGAAAGAGAATAAGCTTGCAAACAACGTAACGGTTCTCTCGCGGCCAACGACGGGCAACCAACGACAGAGCTGGCAAAGCGCGCTGCGGTTAAACGGGCTCTGGCAAACCGTTTCCTAAACACGCGGAGTGTCAAGCGTGTTTTTCCTCTGTCTAGCGATTCGCTTTTACAGTTTCTGCCCCGTTATATCTGAACCAGCTTTAAATAGAAGTTAAAAGAAGTGGCTTCAGTGGTTTGAAGTTGAACGACGCGATCTCCGCTCAGTGTTGAAGATGCCCAAGTCATTTTTGGTGAAGAACAAGAAAGCACGTCGCATTGAAGAAGAAACTCAAGATGGCACGAAACCCGCAAGATGCGAGGAGAAAATCGTAGGTAAGAAAAACCTTCACATTTCCCTTCAGGGTAAAATATTTTTAGTTCCTAGGTCTACTTGACCCTTTGACAAACGATTTTGTTCGCAGTTTCTTCGTAACATTTCCTGTGCGTTGTTTCACCGTTATAAAGTGTCATAGTATTATTAACGCAGATGTTGGCGGACGAATATAAACGGTGCGATAACGGAATATTACTTTTTCCCCGCTCGTGCAAAGAAAATTGCCGTTTTAAGCTCGCAGATCGGTACCTAGGGCTTTTTGATTCCCTCGAAATGGGACTTTTAAAGGAACGAACTGTTGTCCTCGCGGGGTGCACTGAAAGCAACTCTAAGAACAATAGGTGTATGTTACTACAAATAGTAAACCGATGCTTATCGATCAAAATCACGGCTTTGCCAATTGTTTTCCGTTTAAGAGCTTTTTACGATCACAGGAGAAAAAAGAGTGTTTTGACGAACTTGGTTTAATTTTTTGAGGTCGAGCAAGAGGATGCGTATTGGTTTGGACGCGCGCATAATCTATTCCGCTTTCATTGGCTTTAGAAATGGAGTTAAATGAAACGGATATTCGATAGGGGACTTGTTAGGCCGCAGCCTATTACACAGTAATGTTTGTAGTGTGTGTGCACGTAAAAACACACGCTGCCTAGTCACGAAAAGTAATTCGAAAGCTTTCAGTGATTACATTGTGTACTTTGAAGTCTAAAATACAAAGCCCCTGACACGGCGCGTCGAATTGATTTCTACCGCTAAGGTGGCTAAATATCGTCCCTGAATTACAGATAAGTGTTTTGGTCTCGTTGCAAAGATAATCAACGAAAAGGAATTCAACAATGCAGATCATTGATTCATTCATATTCAAATTTTGCTCTGTGTAGTGATAAACGCCATCTCACAAAAGCCCTAATGGATACATCAATTGATATACAATAAAGATTTTGTATAGCGTTTGGGAAGCCTCGCGAGCCTTTCCGTTAAACAAAATTATTCTCCTTGTATAAATCTTTTTCAAGAGAGTTGCTTCAACGTTAGGTTTTTTCAAGGCTGTAGTAAACATTTACCTCGCCTTGGCAAGAAAATTTACGTGAAAATTAGTGCTGGAAATCGATCAGTTCAGTCGTAACAATTATGGTTAATTTAAATTTATGTAAATTCCCATCACTTAAAATGCGAGACCTTTCAAATGCTGTCCATTTTTCGTGGTTTGCCAAATGACGTGTAAACCGATTCTCCACTTGTCAATTTTGCCATGTTTAGACGCATTATTTTCAAAAACAAAAACTTCGTCGGCACTTTTGTTGTTTTCCCTGTGCATTTTCCACGCCTTTTTAAGCAGCTTTTCAGAGTCTTCAAGACAAGACCCCAAAACACTTAACGAAACGGCAAAAATTTTAGGTCCAAAAAAAGCCGCCGTCTTGGTCAGAGCGGAGTGCATTTGAGGTGACGAGAACTGAGCAGATGTTCCGTGTTTTAATTCGTACTTTTCTTGGTCTCGATCTTGACAGAAGCTCTACTTAACCCCTTACATTAAATGCCTTTCGATCAAAGGCTTTCTGCAAAGTAAAACACTTAAGTGCCTTTAAAGGTTCCGCGTTATAATATCGCTGACTCTAATACCAAACTACATTTATAGTAAGATGTTTCAGTTTCTAAAATGAAAAGTGAGAGTCGTGGTTTCGTAGAAACAGATCAAATATAGTCAAACTTTTTGCGCGCACATTTGTAAATTTTAGAACGTTTTGACTCGCGTTTATTTTGAGGCTAGAGGCTAATAGAATTTTAATTTTCGCCAGTGTGTTTGTAAAGATTCGCACTAGGTGAGAGATTGCTTTTAATAAACCACTTTTTGATTGAGAACATCGCTGGGCTTTTAATTCAATAAATTTGTCTTTCTGCGAGGTGTCTGAATTAATGAAATTACTGCGAGGCAGGCCAGCTTTAATTGCATAGAAGAGAATTGAAAGTTAGATGGAAACGCCCGGGCTATCACTGAACAAGTTTGTTCAACGAAATGCAAGATTACAAAATTACCGTGAAGCGAGCGGAAAATTCTCTTCCTGTGTTGTCACAACTTAAGATAATCACTGTCAATGAGATAAAGAAGTGAGCACAATATGATTTTATGGCTTTATTGTGTGAGCAAAACTCGTGCTCTCCATAAAATAAAATCTTTGTCTAAGATGTTAGAAAACTCGACATTTCATATTTTTTACCCCGGTTGTTTACTCTGTTTGAAAAGCTGTCTAGTAAGCTACTTAAGAACCACGCGTAATTTTGTCAGTTTCCTTGACTGAATTCTGTTTGTTACCATTTTTGTAGACTTTTCTTTTAACTGTAATCATACATTTCCTTTTAACTTACTCTTTGAACAGTCGATAAGGACTCAGACTCGTTAGGAGTATCGAGTTTATCTACGGCGAAAAGTTAATTTGCGAAGAACAAGATGTAATCTTTTGTCACCTGAAATATGGCACAGAATCGAAATCTTTTCCGCGAAAGTTGATCGTAGAAAGTAAAACCATGCAGTGTTTATTACATGAAAAATAAATCCACGTACTTAAGGAGTATTTGCTTTGCTTCTGTAGTTTTATGGGAAAACGATATATATGTATATTCATTTATGTGTTTTGTTTTCACCCTCAAAATGAAGTTGGAAGCAGCCGATTTTCTTTTTGCACCAACTATGAAAATCAGAATATCGATGATTATTTTGGTCTCGTTTTAACTGTGCCTTTCACTCTCGGTAAAATTTCTCTACAACGAAAAAGAAACAAGATGACAATTTCCTTTCGCACCTGTAATAGTTATTAGAAGTGGCACGAATAAGTACTTCTAAATTACTTAGCTTGCCGAAATTCCGATTCCTCGCTCTGTTCGTGCTTATGAATATTGTTCAAGTTTGCCGGGAAAACAATTCTAGACCAAAAAATACTACTTTTTGCCTTGGATAAACTTACGTTTCAGCTTTCCACTTTCGCTTCTATTGTTACTCGGGATTGAAGTACAAACTTGTGCCTTTAATGTAACACGATCGTAACTTGGCACAAGTGGCCAATACCCAGCTTTTAAAACTTGTCAGTAAAGTTGAGTTTTTGTCTTGAAATTTATATATATATAGATATATTTTATTGCCAAAAGGTGAAGACCTTTTTGAAAAGTTTAGTGGAAAATTTTGCGTCGTGTTTGAACTAGTAAAAAACAATGGAATCGGTACAAAATGGATGGGAACGTTTTGTGGTCTGATCCTGATGAAAGAAATTAACGTTCCCTCTTACGATAAAACTAGAAGTTTCGAAAGCAACTTTGATAAGATAACAGATAATTGGGAATTAAGAAACAAGGCTGAAATTCTGAGAGACCCAGTCACTCAATGCTTTGTGATTAACAAGAAGGTTCGTACTTTACAATTCGATAGATTTCTTTCTAACCGCAAAATATGATATTCTAAAAACGTGGCACCGAAACATGATACAAGTCAGCAAGCAGTTTGTCCTTCTGTTTCTCTTAATTTGCGTCTTAGATTCATAAGAAGCTTTAAAATTAGTTTCTTTTACTGTCAACATTTGAAAAGTGTAAAGTGTTTCGCGGGTAGCTTGTGTAAAAGTAATAAGGCAAAGTGAACGTGACGCGACAGAATGTTTCACCTTTACTGGTTGTTTTATTGTGCCCTTTTAATCACAGAACACGTGCGGACTGTATGCGATTGCAAACTGAAAATAAATGAAACATAATCATTTCTCCTCCTTTCCTGTGCAGGTTGCCTTGTATTCATTTTCAGTATTTAACAATCACCAAAGAAGGCAAAATTATAAAAGTAGTTTTTGTAGTTACATTTATTCTCTTTCCCTTCCTTTGGTCTCGTTATTTTTTTCTTTGATAAAGCAGATGTCCTACACTTCTTTTTTCTTCCTTCAAGATTTCTTTTCGATAAATTGCAGTTGGCGCCTGTTCATGATATATTTCATTTACCCAGAAATATCTTAAAAACTATTGAAAAATACTACCCGTCGAAGCGAGTTTGAACTGTGAGCTTATTAAAACCATAGGGACAAAACACTCGGCCGGTCAATTTGTCATACAGGTTATCACGCTTGCTTGAATATTGTCATTTTCCTTCCACGGGCAACACCCTAAACTCTTGTTTGCTCAGCAACTTGTCCCGGTGAATTTTTTACGAACCCCAATTTTTTTTTCCTTTTTTGTTTATGAGTAGTCCTCAGTTTTTTTCAATGATTTTTAAGACACTGTTTCTCGAAGTCTTCAATGGCTTCTTTCTTTCTTTATGATAAAAATCAGTTTAGTTTAGTGAGCCATATTTCTTGAAGACGAGACCAGACCAAACCTGTTTGACGTAATGAAGAAAAGTAGGCTATTAAATAACTGCTTTTTCGAGTTTATTCATGATTCATAAACTTCTATGCTAAGGCTTTGGAATGCTACAAAAATTCTGCCCTTATTTAGTTCACTTCCGAGATGCAGTTAGTATTTGTTTGGATTTCACAAACGCCAAATTAAAAAATGATTTTCTTCTCGCCTTTTTAGATGGAATTCTTACGTCGTCAGAAGAATCAGACGAGGAAAACTCAACTACAAAGGAAGAAGAGGAAAGAAACGTTGATTTTAACAGTGGCATTTTACAGAGCAAGGAGTTAGACCAGGAGATGATTTCTGTTCCCAGTTTACAGAGTGAAAGTGAGAGAATTTTCAGAGAAGCTGATGCAAAGCGAGACAAAGTAATTGATCGCTCAGAAGCGCTCAACGATTTGTGTTGGTGGCAGGGAATAAGCTCGCGATATAAACTTCAAAACCTTCCTCCACCCCCCAAACTCATCAGCTCAGGAAGGAATGGTCTATCAAAGATGCACAATTCTCGATCACCCGAACATCATGCCGTCATTACTATGAGCCAAAGACACCATTTTCCATTGACCGCCAATGGGTATGGCGTTGTAAACTTTCATGATCATCGAATTTCTGCCATTGCTGATTCGATACCCGTTCGTGCATCGTTAGACGGGCTTCGTGAAGTATCGTTAAATCTTCGACATGCTTCGGAAATTCATCATCGAGAATCGTCCTTGTGCCCAAACATTCCACAGCCAACGCCCAGTCCGCAGTTCAATAACAACCATTTTTTTATTCACAGTCATCCGTTTTTAACGGCTCACCAACAGCAGGAGTGCCTTTCAAACCTTCAGAGCAAGGAACAGGACAAGGCCAGTGAAGGTGAAGAAACCAAGTACAAATGTGAAATTTGCAACAGTTCTTTTACACTGCAGCGGCTTCTGAATCGTCATATGAAGACTCATTCTTTCTACAAGCGCTATCACTGCCAGTTCTGCACCAAAGGTTTCAATGACACTTTTGATCTGAAGCGACATATAAGAACACACACGGGAATAAAGCCATTTAAGTGCAGCAGATGCGACAAGTCATTCACACAGCGCTGCTCGCTTGAAGCTCACCTCACTCGCGTGCATGGCATCGTGCACAAGTTTGGCTTCCGCGAAAGACGATCGAAACTGTTTGTCTGTGAAGACTGTGGAAGCACTTTTACAGAAAACGCAGATTTCATGAAGCATCTTCATGAATTTCACCCAGAGACTGAGAAAATAATAAGGGCGAGGAGAAATGGAGGCTTCCCTCCAAAATTAAAAGCTGGTAGTTAGATAACACTTGTTAAGGTAATTCTGTTTAAGGTAATACTAATTCCTTATTTAAGAGTTACTTTGTAAATTTAAAGAAATGTAAGTTAAAACGTCGCATAATCTAGAATCGAAAGTTAATATCAATATTTTTTTTCATATAAAGAGAAAATCCCTTTCCGAGAGACGCGTGCTTCTCGCGCGAGTAGAGTAACTCTTCATTAGCGGCGATAAAACGTGTAATTTCCCATGGTGGCGACAAAATTTCCCAACAGAAGCTTCCATGTGGCTTTAGTTTTTCAGTTTTCGAAAGACCATTCAAATGAAAGGTACTAGGCAGTAGTTTCCTGTAGTAGTGTTTATTACGCTGTACAAGGTGATTCTATGGTTTGAGTCTGTGGATGAAAACAACGTGTGACCATTCAAATGGAAGGCCACGTTGAGTGGTAGTGAAAGGGATCACAAAATAATTGACTACACAAAATAATTCCAGATCACAGCAAAGATCACAAAAGTCTCAAATTTAAAGAAACAACCGGAGTACCAGTGAATAAGAAAAAATCACTAGAAAGTGAAAAATCCCTTGAAACTGATATATGTGACTGTGTAGCTCGATGGAATAATTGAAAAGCTCGTTATTTTATTCCGCTTTTTAGTGTCGTCTAGCTGGTCTTTATCACCCAAGGTAAGCTTAAAGTCGTATATATTATGGTGCTTAATCTTCTTGGTCTTCTAAATGAGTGAACGCTGCTTTTCAGTGTACCTTTTCTGTTTGGTACGGTTTGTTTTCCGTTTTTCTCAGGTGAAAGTAGCAGGGCTTGTTCGATTTCCAGCGAGATTTTTTCTGTCGTAGTTTCAAGGCAAATGTGATAATCTACTTTCGAAACTGAGAAATTGTAGCTCATTGAGAAATAAGTGGACGATTTAGGCGCTGTTGGTTTTTAAATTCCTTATACGATCGAGTTTCGAGCAATAATAAAATTAGTAAGACTGAGCTGGTACAAAATCAAAATTGTACAAATTTTCGTTAAAGTTTTTAAAGCCGGCAAAGTTCCTCTCGCTGTTTATAGTGAAGATGAAGAATTACGTTTTCACACAGTTACCCACTCTCAAAATATTTTGTCTTCTTTTCCGTAGCAGACAACACTAAATAATCTTAATATTGAATATTTTATCGCAGAGCTATTTATCATATTTAATGAGCTTGGTGTTATGTTCTGTGTTTTTGTTACATAACAAAAGAGATTTAATTAAAATAAAATATATAGTTATACCAGAAACTCATAAGAGGTTGAACAACCTCTTATGAGTTTTAAGTTATACTGAACAGCATATTCGACAGATTTTCGCCCAGTAACTCTCAAAGACATATTTGTTACACCGATGTAGTTTCCACGCATCCTGTTCAGTTTATCTCGTCCCGCAACGCTCCTCCACGGGTTGTGAGACGAGACGAAAACGGCTGCGTGGGAAACTAAAGCGGTTTTGGATCTTAAAGATAACTTTTGGTCACACACCTTCAAAATTAGCCTACGTGCAGACGATAACTAAACTCTGATTAGTTAACCAGAGTTTAATTTCGTCTGCACGCAGGCTACTTCAAAATGTGATATAAATAAATGAATAAAATTTAAGCTTGGCTTATGGCTTAACAGAAAGGGTGCTTGTTTGTCTCTTTATAGAGCGTTTAAATATCGGTAGACTGTAGGCTGCGATCATTTCTGTCTTTTACTTTATATATCAGTATGTAAGTTCTCCTGCCTCTACAGATATGTCACACGGTACTAATAAGAAACTGTGTATACATCACCACCTATGGCGATCATTTCCTCTTTTTTTGAAGGCCTTTATGTTGAAAACGTGGTGGTATAAATTTATAAGGACAGTAAGTGTTGTGTCCAGGATCGAACGCGAGTGAGATGCACTTTACTTATCATAACCATCTCAAAGTGTTGCCATGATGCAGCAGATGCGCATATACATGAAGTGTTTACCAAGTAATACCCTCGTTCAATCCTGGACAGATGCGTAATGCAGAAGTGGCTAGTGATCATTAATAGGCAAGTTTACTGTTTACTGTAAATACAATCAAGTGCAAGAGTCTTGGAAAAAATGTGAATCTGTGGGGCTCATTTCAATCACCCATGCCCAGCCCCACCCCCACCCTACAACCAACGTTGAATTGAAGTATCCAGGAATTTTTCCGAGTTTCAAGTAATATATCAAACATGAGATGCAGTGTTTCATCACCAGATGAAACACCGAGAAGAGAGTTGAAAATACGACGCGCAGCGGAGTATTTTTGACGAACTTCGAGGTGTTTCATCTGGTGATGAAACACTGTGTCGAATGTTTGATATTTCTTCTCAAACAAAATCATTTTTGAAGGAGAAATTAAGGATGCAAATACTAAGCAGTGTTTCATCCGATTTCCAAACACTCATTAAACATTAATTTCCTTTGTATTTTCTTAATGAATTATTAATGAGTTTGAGAACATTGAATATAGCCTGTTTATAGACCACCCCTCCCCTTAGTAAAAATTGGAGAAGGGGCGTCTGTGATTCACCGTTGCTAATCGTGTATGGAGGCAACGTGATTTTTCCCGGAATGGGAAAGGGGAGGAGGGGTACACAGGCTACATTGAATAGGGTGAGAGGAGGGAGAACTGCAAGACAGTTTCGAAAAAGTTGCACTGCTCTACGAGGACACCCAGAAATTACAGAAATTATGAATAATGCTTCACTGTCCTAGGGACTTTTGTCCAGGGGTCAATATTATAAAATGTTTAGTAGTGTAGCCATTGTTTTAGAGTTTGAAAACAACGTAAATCACTTGTACACAAGTCTTATTAAATAGACCCTGGGATTGTAGACCTCCTCCTTTTTTGAAAGCGTTTATTGCTGAATGGGATCTACATGAGCGTTTATATATAAAAATGTTCAACAACTGGAAGGGAGTGTAGCGTCCTCTTATCCCAGCTCTCTTCCGTTTTTAGGGCTTGCTTTCCTTTTAGCTCTCCTGAACTCTATTTATGCTGACATCCGAGCTTACTGCTAACATGTTAATATATAATGTTGTCCTCTCATCTACGACATTTCTTTTCATTCATTCATGAATACCGGCATTTTATTGGTCAAAGATACTGTGACGCGTTGTTAAGAATTTGTTGAAGAAAATAATAGCACTATAATATAGAAAAAGTAACTGTTGAGTTTTGTTCCGGCTAATTTCTTTATTTTTCACGAGTACAACATTGGAGTATAAGTGTGAAGTCTGTTTCGAGACTTCTTGGAGTCCGCCTTTTCACCTGAAGCACCGCTAGATCGGACGGGGTGTGGTTTTTACCCTCTTTGCCCTGACATTTTGTATCATTGTACCGCGGTTTCAAAGATGACGGTCTTAATGTAAAGAGAGTTTACTGAAATAATGTGGCGTTTGAAGTTACCTTGGTAAGATGAAAGAGAAATCGTCAAGGTCTGTCTTCTTTTCTTGTTTACGTCCGGTTTAAAAATGATCGACACCTCACTGACCTATTGTTTTCAGTCCGTCGTAACCTTCTTCTTTATTATACCTCTGTTGCGATTCTTGTTTATTCATATTGAAATAAATCTGTGAAAATGTTCGTTGTTGTAATAAACGTTATCAGTAATAACAGGAGCCTATAGGCTCCAGGTAATAAGTAAAAATGGCATGACTTTACTTAGGTTAACGCCAAGGATCAAAACGCTAAGATAAGGTCCCATCGCGCCGGCTAATGTACCGGTTTGCAACGACTTATGTTTGGAACTTAAAACATGACAAGTTAATCTCAAAATTTAATAATTCGCCAAAAAGGTGTCAAACAGTCACTTTCTGAGAAGTGGAGGTCGGAAACCTAACAACATTATGGCTACACCATAACAAACAATTTCCACTGTAATTGCGGAAGTCCTCTTCGAAACAAACGTGACATATTTAGGTCTATTGTCAAGGATGATCACGTACATAGACTATCCTTGGCAAGAAAATGTCATTTTAATTTTGTCTTATTTCCTATTGTTCTTTTGTTCTTTGTTACTGATATTAATTTTAAGGACGATCAAACTCAACCTACTTTTGAAATGACTCCTGGGTTCAAACCTTTCACATTCATTTTAAGGCTGACTTTTATCTCAATATATATATAGAATATTTCATAGACAGTGCGCGCGTACGTCAATTACGCAAAAGTTGATCACGTATCCGGAAATCTCACTCTTTCGCTGCGATCACTTGTTCCTTTTCTGAAAAACGAGTTTTAAATACCGTGCGTGCGCACTTCCCATGTGGTATTGTGTTTATTCACCATTCTGCCCCATAAAATTTTATCAGTTTCAAATATATTTAAGTGATAAAAACGACGTAAGCTTTTGAAAACTATTGTTAAAAATTATAATGAGGTTAAGGCATATATTAAGGTAATACCTTTGTCTACAGTAAAAAAATTATATCAAAATCAGAGGCAATTTGAGTGAAATGATGAGGTTTGAATAGCTAAAGCCGACAAAATAGACCCAGTTGAAAGTACGACTTAAGCTTACAACTGGTCTGTTTTATTTTCTATTGTTCTACTGTTGTTTTGTAAGCTCTACCGTGTCTACAATTTTCTTGCTCTGTTCTTCACTTTTCTATGAAAAAAAGACTCTCCTTCTCTCAAAAAATTATCGTTGAATGACTTAGACAAGACAAGAACGTTTATTTATATCACACACGGAAAAAAAGACAAGACTACTCATGTAAGGTACAAGCCACCTAGAAAATAGCTAAAAAGCTAATCTATCTAGGATGATCGCCCATCAGGGGCTGGGAAATAGGCGCGAAACTCAAGCACCGCGCGCTGTAGCTTTGCATTGGACAACTATTTTTCCCGCTTTTGAATAACGTCGTTCACTCATTTGATTGGGTAGAGCTCATTTGCGCATGAAAGTTTACGACATAGCTTTTCAGTGAGTATAGCTGTCCTAAAGCGTGACCAACTGATCTGAAAGCAGCAATCCGTTTGT